GAAGTAGTTGTTAGACAAGCAAGCGAGCGAATAGGTTGGCCTGAATATAAATGAAATAATCAAAAGACATATATGGCGCAATGGCGATTAATCATGGACGAAAATCACCAGAATGCCACATACCAAAACGAAACTTTCTGTGCCAACGACTCAGAACTTTCCAACCAACAAACACACACACGTCGGAAAAAAAATAGAACGAGCAGGTTGGAGAAATGTTTACAGAAAGTTGTCATAACCTGGTAGGCACGTAAAAATTACATAAAAATGAGTATAAGATGATCAGAACCAGTTGCCAAGATTAATTCTCGACTTTAGAGTCTAGACATTTCTTAGACTTTAGACGGAGACAACTTGCCACACACAGGAAATTAACTAGAAAAATTTGTAGCAATACTGTGGGTCCGGCTCATTAAAAAATAGCCAACTTACATACCTTAAGATCATTTTGTTGACGTTGCACGTTGCCACTTGGCCGTTGGCCGTCGTTGTTAATGACTTCGTTAAATGCGTTTTTTTGTCTTCTGTTTGTATTTTTGGTTTGCGAATACTTTTCGCACGCAATACCCCAGAGCTGCAAATTAATCCAATTATGGAAGACGATGGCCCACGCTAAAATCGATGTTGGCCTTAATTAATCTTGAGCCTTGTTTGGCTGGTGCGCAGAGTTCGTCGAGTTCGTTGCCAGAGTCTTTTGGTTTTCGGTCAGAATGTTGCAATTAACTCGAGCACTTGTCGCGGCTGCGGGAAAAAACTTTTCCTATCAGGTTTCACCCTTTTGTCACTGAGCCGCTTCGCGCTTATTTATTTCCCCAATACACTTGCTTTCCTGCTCGTAGCAGCACTTTCACACACACAAGAGCGATTTGTATGCACTGGGTGTCGGAGTACCGTTAGCCGTCAGCACTTCTTCGTCTTCTAGCCGATTTGTCCGCCTGCACAACCGCCCAACCGGAGTGTGTCCAACAATTAACTGAGCACTGCCAGCCGATGCTGCCACAGAAAAGCCAAAAAAGAGCCAAACAATCGAAGCCGGCCCCATCGCAGCCAACAGCTCTGCCGGCGTCGACGGCGCTGCGATAGCGGCGGGCAGACCTCGGTTATCAGCTGCCAAGTGCCGGCGGCAGCAGCAGTTAAGGCTAAAAAAAACAAACGGTGAAAAAAGCAGGCGCCCCAAGCCGACGACAACGAGGTTGACTTAACTCAACACGTCAAAGTCGTTTTTGAGTGAAAGTTTGAGTGGAACCGATGACTTGAGTATGTTTTGTCCGGTGAATAAAGCTGGTTTGTGGTGAGTTTCTTTAGTGTGCAGTTTGTGTCTTAAGTCTTTCGATTTTTCAAGCTAAGCAGATAGAAACCCAACTGAACAGTCTTATTGAAAGTTTGTGACCTAAGTCATTTGATAAAAACGTCTTGTTATTTTTTACACCAATTTTTATAACATAAAACATTAATTATGCATTTTTTTTTATTTTTTGAATAATATTTATAAATCTAATTTTTTAAATTATTTAGGTAACTTATAATAAATAATACTAATAAAATAAATAGTACTAATAAATTATAACATAGAATAAATTTTCAAGTTTGTGTCTTAAGTCTTTCGATTTTTCAAGCTAAGCAAACAGAAACCCAACTGAACAGTCTTATAACAAGAAAGGAAAGCTAATTTCGGGCAGAGCCGAAGTTTATATACCTTTGCGGTTTAAACCGGATATATATCGCAAACATCGGATATAGTTGGCCGATCCTTATGATTACATCATAATAAAACTAATTAACTAAAATAAAAAAAATCTAAAAAAAGTCCCAAACTTCTATCTTCAAAAATACGAAAGTTGATATTTCTACCAAGTACCTTTTCCGATCGTTCAGTTATATGGCAGCTATAGGATATAGTCGGCCGATCCTAATGAAATTTGGTAGGTTGGATCAACTGAAACGGACAGACAGACGGACAGACGGACATGCTCATATCAACTCAGGAGGTGATCCTGATCAAGAAAATATATAATTTATAGGGTCGGAGATGTCTCCTTCACTGCGTTGCACACTTTTGGACAAAATTATAATACCCTCTGCAAGGGTATAAAAAGATTGTGACTTAAGTCATTTGATAAAAACGTCTTGTTATTTTTTTAAACCAATTTTTATAACATAAAACATTAACTATGCATTTTTTTTTTATTATTTACAAAATTTATGTCAAATTTTTTTGAATTTTTTTTTGAACTATCAAATTTTTTTGAATTTTTTTTTGAACTATCAAACGAAACAATAAAGAGAGAAATGTTTGGTAATGAAATTTAATTTTTGAGCATATTTTGACATTGAGAAATTAACCATGCACCTAGGTTAGTTCTTTTTGTTTATATTTTGTAATGATATTCCGAAGTTCCATATTATTACATGATCCCACGCATTGAGTAACTCCCACACAAAAATCTAATTTTAATTTTACCAACACAAACCCAATAAATAGTTAGTAACGGCTGAGCCCAACTAAAAAACTCCTACCTGGCTATCAGGCATCTTTTATGCCCATGTTAAAATAAAATCTCAATCTGTGGTCTTTTTCCATTTTTCAATTTGCCAAGCCTCCGGCAGACCAATCACTTAGAGCCTCGTATTAGTACCAGCCAATTAATTTAATTTGTCAAACCACAAATACAAATCAGGTAAGCCTTCAATATTTTCAGGGAGTAAAATCCGCAAAAGATCATAATAATAATAGACGTATAACGAAGTGCGACCAGAAACCGTCAAAAGGCAAGCAAGCAGAAGCAAAATTAACTTTTAGCTAACCACCGAAAAAATATTTTTTTGTGGTGGGTTAGGTTTTTGGCTGGTTCAGTATCCGTAGTAATAGTCAAATTCATATCGATTTGTGGCCTTTGGCTTTGGCTTTGTTGCATTTGACAATTGCTTTGCATGAACGCACGAATATTGTGCAACAATTTTGGACCGCAGCAGCAGCTCTACGACCACCTCCATTGCCTCCCGATAAAAAGAAAAACAACAGCAGTATTAACAATGTACCACGCATTTTTTGAAAAGTTGTTCGTGCCACGTTTTTGTTCTTTTATTAAAGACCATTTTTTTAAGCTTGACGATGTTGTATGAGTATTTAATACCGAAATATTGTACTATCGACCCGGTTTGACTGCTCACTGCAGACTGGCTCCATTTTCGCTGTTTAATTTACTTGGTTTTTTTGTTGGTGCATTTGGCGATTTTTTAAACATGCTATTAATTTTTAATGGCGTGTGACATTTTTGTTTACGCATAGCCTCAATGTAGAGCAAAACATTAGCATGTCTGCGGTATTAGCTTACCATTTTTCTTGCTGCCATTGAGCCATTTGACGGAGTCTTAATTGATATTTATCGCTCGGACATTGGACGGCCTGCCGTGAACATCATAATAGAGGCACAGAGTCGTGTAGTCGACAAAAACTCATTACTCTGGCCAAAAATTGAATGGTAAACGCGCCTACAATTTGGCCATTTGATTAGCCTCACCTCGGCAACAGACCTCAAATGGCCAATCCAATCCAGCACATAAAATCCAATTTAATTAAGTTAGACTCTCGGATCAGATCAGATCGGACTGTATCGGATTGAGACGCAGACGGAGGATCGAGTCTGATTTTGAGACCCACAACAGCAGCTGCCATGGCAGACAACCTTGCCAGCATTCTTAACATGTTCAAGATTTTTACCAACGCACTGCATTTCGGATTGTCGTTTACTTTTTTTGCTGCGTTCACTTTTCAAATGCTTACGAAATGCCAATATTCGGCACAAAGTTATTTGTTATTTGATCGAAGCGATTGAGCAATTGTTGATATACAATTTTTTCACCCATTTGCCTCAGTTTTGTTCTGTTTGGCTAACGGTTTTTTTCATTGATTTGTTGTCTAATTGTATACGAAAAATGTAATTAAAATTAAAACGAGTAACTGGAAACCCGCAACGCTTGCATGTCAGCTTAACAAACCAAAATAAATAAATAAAAAGTGTTAACACCCTGATCGCACAGCTGGCGACAACTTCAGACCATGAGTCACGAATTTGCATACTATTATTGTTCGTGTAAATGGTAAATTAAATGTTTTAATGTTCAAAAAAGTTCTCTAAGACTAATCCAATTCGTACTATGTATAATTCAAAATGTAGAAATAGCAATCATAATTTTTAGAAAGTAAAACAAGGACCATATGGTAAGATACCCGAATTGGTTCACACGAAATGCCAAATGAACTTTCCAATTCATAAAATTTGCCAAATGTTGTACGCACTTTTACGTAATTCGTTAAATGTTGCCACCATGACATTTCATTTTTGAATTAATTCAAGTATTATTGCTCAGCTATCAAAGCAATTGGTTTGGCGATTTCTTCGACAATCATAAGCCTAATTTGATTTCATTGTTTCGGATCATAAATTGACCCTGATCCATATTTGGCGAGGTTACCTATTATCGGGACAGAGCCTATGGCACAATTCGCCTTTTCAAAAAATATTTTCGCTAATGTGCAACTTCCTGGCAACCACAATGATGGGTGTCTTTTTTTGGCACACCTAATGATCGCCTTAATCAAGTCTTCTATATGCCAATTAAGCCCATGACAGCAAGTAATGTTAGTTAAGCCATAAATGTATGAAAAGGGGCTTCAGTGTTAGCCAGGCAGCCATTCATGTATTATGCATATATTTCTTGAGGAATTGGACGAATGCTTAATCTATCGAAATAAAACCACAAAAACTGTAACAAACACCTTTATAACTATGCTGCGGACTAAATTTGTAAAAAATCATAACAGTTTCCACTTCAAGGGTTACGAGGTTTTTTTGTAGGTACTTTACAAAATCATTCTTTTATTTTGTAAATGTAAACAGTTTAATTAGAATGAGTTTGTGTTTTTAAGTTAGAATGAGTTTATTAAACCCTAATACTTTCAAAATGATCAACACAAATTAGAAAACAGGCTCACTGGGTAAGTAATTTACTTGACTGCTATTACAGAGATTATTTTTAGATAAATTTTGAAGTATTCTTTATAGTGAAAATTTAACTTGACACTTAAGTATAAAAAGATGGTCTGTTTCTAACCAAATCATCAGTTGCATCCTACTCATACCCTGCGCACATTCTAAATTTTTAACATGGCCTTCCATTACATTTTTGTATTCAGTGCTCTAGTGGTCCTGGCTAACGGATCTTATGCACCTTCTGGACCCGCTGTCGGAGGACCCCTTCCCACTCCTGGCGGTGTTTTGCCAGGAGCCCCGGTAGTTGGAGCCCCGCGTCCAGTGGTTTCCCAGCCACAGCTTCCAGCCACCAGTCCTGTCTTACCCATCGCCCCAGTCGGAGGACCAGGACGAGTTTCGGGCTACGGCGTTGCGGGACCACGTTCTTATGGTGGTTCTCCGCGCATACCTATTGGTGCTCCCATTAGTCGTCCTATTGGTGGACCAATCGCCGGCCCTATTGGGGGACCGATCACAGTTCCAGTTGGAGGACCCATTAATGGTGGACTCACTAGTGTTCCCCCAAGCAGACCTATTGTTCGTCCGGTTGGAGGACCAATTACTACTCCTCTTGGTGGACCCATTGTTCGTCCTGTAAGCGGTCCCATCACAGCTCCTATTGGCAGCCCAATCTCTGTTCCCGTTGGTGGACCCAATGTTCGTCCAGTTAATGGAAACGGCCGCCCATTTGGTTGCATTCGTAAACCATATTAATACTTTCAAGGGACCATCAGCCATCATATCATTTTTCAATACTATTCGTTTCTAAAAATTATTTAATCAGCAAATAAAAAATGTTACATATGAAAAAATTTTATTTTATTTAAAATGTACTCTTACCTAACTTAAAATTTTAAGTTAGGTTTTAAAATTGATGAGGTGAATATGTAATTACACCATTAATAACATATTTGGCAATAATTACAATGCAGCAACAATCCAAACTAGACTAAACCAAGTTTAATGTATTACTCAATAGTTTTAGATAAACTGAATTGAAATTCCTTGAAATAGACCGCTAAAACTTAAAAAATTAAAGAAAAATAATTAATAGGTACCAAAAACCCGAAAATGGTTTAAAACTGCCAAATTTATATTCAAGTTCTAACGTTTTATTTAAGACACAATTATTTTATCAGCTTCGTGATATTAATTAAATTAAACTACTTAATGTTATACCGCAAATTATCGATTCAAAAATAATTAAACCAATTTCGTTTTACCACAAACTAAATTAAGATAAGTACTTTTTTCTTGTAAGATATTCCATTTCCTATGTATTTATAATTTAACAAGATCAAAATGCGTGATGTTAAAGGTTTTTATAATGAAAATATTTGCATTTAAAATACATTTTAGTAATGGAAATACAACTAAGCTTTAATTTAATATATAATTGAAAAATTCTAGTAACAATTTTAGTGTCGTATTTAAATTTTATATATTGTATGTTTATTTTTTGTTTGTCAATTCCTAAGTACATATATCTGATCTCTATCTGATATATCTGATACATATAACTTTAGTGATCTTTGTGGTTGCGATTGTGATTATGATGAATATTTCCGTATGGACGTCCGGAACTTGCTCCGGGTGGTGAACGACGGTTGGAGCTAGATCCTCCAGATTGTCCATTATGACCACCGTTTTGACCATGTCGCACTACAGCTGCTCGTCCTGATCGTACTGTAGGGAAACTAATTGGACCTTTTGACGATGTTCCTTCCGCATGAAGACTTCCCGCATAGGTTTCTTGTTCCGCCGATGATACATGTGACCCTTGAACCAGGACGAACAGGACACTAAGAACAATAATAAAGCAGTATTTCATGTTATTATAATGCGGGAAAAGGTAATAAGTGACACCTTAAAATCGTTGACATTTTATATACCTTTTATACAACACAGTATCTAAATTATTTTCACTAAAAAAATTATAATTACTTTTTTATTGCAATACTTAAAATTAGGGAATTTCCACGAAGCAATTTTTTCTAAAGACGGGGTTAGGTCAAATAAAGTTTACTGAACTCTAATCTGAAAAAAAAAATTTTCTATCATCAATAAATTTATAAAAATAGTATTTGTTTATTTTGTGTATTATTGGTTTTATTTATTTTTCCATTTAGCATTTGGATTATATTTATTGTTTTAAGAATGTTGACAGATGACTTTAAAGTTACGATCAGTGTTCCTAGGTCATATAAAAGCAGAAATTCAATAAATTTTTAGTGAGGAGTCTGGATGTTGTGACGATACTGATGGGGATTCGCGTAACCAGATCCTGAAGCTCCGAGGGGCTGGCGAATAGGAGCCACGTTTCCAGTAAGAGGACGACCATGGACAGCCGCAGGAATTCCAATCGTGGCAGGTCGGTTATATGAAACAGAACTCTGTCGGCGAGTAGCAGCCAAAGGACGAGGATTAGCTGGAGAGGCGGATAAAATAGCCGTAGGGCGGCTGTAAATAATAGAAGCCTGTCGTCGGGGTGCAGTGAATCCTCCTGTCAAGGGATGCAGGCTAGCCAGAGCCACAGGGATTGCGGGAGCCGGTCGGCTGTATGAAACACCAGCCTGTCGCCGAGGAGCAGTCAACACAGATCCAATAGCTCCATGAGAACCCCCCACAGGAGTAGCTATTGCTCCATGGCTGTAGACCACCGATCCTTGAGGTTGAACTGTTGAGCGTCCTTGCGGAAGGCCACCAACAGGAGCACCATGAGAAACTCCGGCTTGATAAGGCACATACGATCCTCCAACCAGGACAACCAGACCACTAAGAAGAAGTACCAAACTTGCCGTCATATTTTTTTGATATTTTTGGATGGATGCTGAAGTAATAACTGATGAATTAGGACAAAATTTGCTTATTTTTATAGCGTATAGGTTGTCCCGGGCAATCTCAATACATTAAGGGAAGGCAAGAAAATAATTTTTGTAAAATAAAATTGTGCATTAAAGTTATTGCCCTTTGATCTTTTGTCAAATCTACAAAGGGCACACGTGTGACTTTATAAATAAGTAAATTTTTAATTATATACATAGTGTATTTTTTTTTTGATTTTTAGTAACGATTTATAAATTATGATCTAAAAAATAACAATTTAAATAAATTCAATAGTTATGTATGTGTAAATATTGAATATTTGTAAAAAACGTTATATAAAAGTTGAACTATTAAAATCAATATTGTCTATCATTTTTATCTATATATATATTCTTCATCAACACAACTTGACAAAAAAAGAAATATAAAATTTGGAATGAAAATTTGAAACTTGGAGCCCAAATCGAGTTTTGTTTGCCACAAAAAAACTTTGGCACGTACTAAAAAATTTAAAATGTTGGAAAAATGTTTTTTGCTGGAAAAAAAAAGTTTGCAACAAAATTTTCGTTTTGTTGTTTTTGTTAAGAGAATAGAGCACCAGGTATAGTATAGTATAGTCGGGAAACTCGACTGGCAAACCATCCTTTTTTGTTATACCCTTGCAACGCAGTAAAGGATAAATATACGACCCAATAAAATATATATATTCATGATCACGATAACCGATTTGATATAAACATGTCCGTCTGTCTGTATTGATCGCAATCATTGCACACACCCTTCTTTCCTTTGCACGCAGTATATAAGTCGGAACGGCCGAGATTGGCTGACAATATCATATATGTATGTAGATGCCATATAACTGATAACCGAACTTTCGTGTTTTTGCAGATAGAAGGTTTGAACTTTCGACAGATTCCATTTTTTGCCAATTGATCCGTCGTACCAAATTTCGTAAGGATTGGCTGTCTATGTATATCCTACAGCTGCCATATACCTGAACTATTGGAAATGGTATTGGTAAAAATATCAACTTTATTTTTAAAGATTTTTTTTTCAATTTTGTTTTCTAATAAATTTGGTCTTATAACCAAATTCTCACAACGATCGGTATCCGATATTTGTGATTATCTGATCATATCAACTTCGGCTCCGCCCTCCGCCAAATAATACAATCGTTGAAAAATAATATTTTTGTATGCTCGCAAATAATTTTATTTAAGGGAAACAAAGCGCTTAGTTTAGGTAATTGCCGATATATTTAGGTACTCCATGAGTTCAAAACAAATATTTGTCTAACAATTTTAATGAGGCTTCTGGGATCGGTCGAGATTTGGGTGAGCGTTGCCATGACCTGCACCATTTAGACGAACAGAGTTCCCACCAGTACGACGATTGTAGGATGCGCCAGTATGCCGATTCAAAGAGCCGCCGACATGACGATTGGGAGATCCGGCTCCAGGGCGATTAAGGGCACCACCAACAGCTACATGAGTCCGAGATCCACTGATAGCAGGTCCTGCTAAGCCATGTGTCAACGCGGGACGCTGAGGTTGGGCAACCGCTGAACGTCCATGGGGAACTCCAGCCAAAGAAGCTGCAGCCGAAACACCTCCTGAGTGAAAAGCTCCTTCCAAGGATTCATGCTCGACTATATCCACATACGATCCTTGGGCCAGGACGACCAGAACACTAAGCACAAAGATGTAACGGAAAGCCATTTCTATTGGTTTATTTGATGGTTGCTTAAATCACAACTGATACTGTCATACAAAGAGATAATGCTTTTATACCTTATGTTTTTGATTATTGAATGAGTATAATTATAATCCTTTGGGTCGCGTGTGACATATAATTAAGTCTTTCACCTTTGAACCTTAAAGGTTTCTGGCGTCGACTAAAGTTTTTTCAACTCGACGACACGCGTCACATGGGCATTTCCGAAATCCCACACGGGACGTTATAGAAAAATAAACGTAAAAAAGTAAGCGATTTTACAAACTTAACCAAATTGCGTTTTATTAGCTGTTTTGGTGATGCAAAGTTTGATTTAAGCCAATTTTTCGTTTTTAAGACACTGGCAAAATTCAAGCAAATTAGCACTGGACACCAAAGAAAGTTTCTGTGGAAATACCCATATGTAATATAAATGAGTTTGAATTATTGAGTCAAAGGTTGAGATTGACCCAAAATAAATCTTTAGAGATTTTTAATCCTGTACCCTGTGCAAAAATTCGGGTATTTTCCAAATAATTGAACTTTTTAGTAAAAGCATCGGTCCACGATCAACTATCGGAAGTACCATAAATTTCTAGCCAAAAACTCAATGATAACTTTTTTTAACACTTAATCTAATTGTTGTCTAATAATGAAGTTCTCATAAGGATCGTCCCACTAATCCGATATTTCCAAGATATATGCGATAATATAAATCAACATCAGTCTCAAAGGGTATATTATCTTTGATTTCCCCCAAAGTAAGCATATTGCTACAGCATCTACATATGCACATATACCGGTGTCAACTTAAATTGCATTTTAATTTTTCCATTTATATTTGGTATATTTATTGAACATATAAAATATAAAATTAACTTAAAAAAACTTCCCCATTTTAATATCGTCTAGCCCAATAAATAAAACATGTATTTTATATTTCAATGGTTAACTATATTTGAGATTTTACAATCAACACAATAAAACCATTTTAAATATTTTGTATAACACTTGTTATTATATGCAGTTTTTACTATTTGAAAAAATAGTTGATAATAATATTTTTCTATGGTCTTCATTTTTAAGAACGTCGAACGTCAAAACTTGTTTAATTCAATTCGTCATTAATTCATAAATCCAGATTTCTTAGTGAGGTCCATGTCGATGTCCATATCCTCCGCCAATTGAACGGCCGGCATTTCCAACAGGAGAACGATTATAGGCTCCGATTCCTGGACGATTAACTGAGACTCCGTCAGGACGATTGAGCACGGTTCCACCAATTGGTACACGAGGACCAGCTCCATGGGATCGGGGCCCACCAACAAGGGAGCCAGCTAATCTACCTGAAGCACCATAACCAGACAGAGAACGCTGGGGCAGGGAAATTGCCGCACGGCCTTGCGAAACACCGACCACAGGAGCTCCAGCGGAAACACCACCAGCGTGAATTCCTTCAAGGGATTCTTGCTCCACTAAATCCAGATAAGATCCTTGGGCTAGCACCACTAGAGCGCTGAATACAAAAATGTAGTGGAAAGCCATGTTGTGTACAGATTGATGAAAATATAACTAATGCTTTATCCTCCAAAGGGAATGCTTTTATACTTTAGATTATTGTTAACAACAAATATTTTTAATAGCGTTAAAAACAAAGTTGAACGGAAATCCCGTTTCAACTTTTGAACTCAATTAAATTGAAATATCCGTAATTCATTTTGAACCCTTAAATATTTTGAACTTTGTAAGTTAGGTCTAAAGTTTCTTGACCTCAATACACGTTCTGACACAAAATATAAAGCCAGATAATTATCTAAATCTTTTTCATCAGTTTTATTTTTGGGATCCACTTTAAAAATATGGAAAATAGATGAACGGTCACTACATGGACACCAGCAAAGTTCATATATTTGCCAATAATCTTCCGATTCCTGATTGGAATATCTTAAAAGACTCATAGGTCTATTCTCTGAATTCATTAATCTGAATAAAAAATGTAGGAACACATTTTTTTTTAATTATTTGTAAAATTTTTTGTAGTGTTCCAATAAAAATGTGGAAGTGGCATTGGAAGGAAAATATGACCCATCACAAAAGCCCTATCTTTGCCAATAACTTCCCGATTCCTGAGCGGAATACTACTTCAATTCTTAGATCTATTGTCCATTAATTAAAATCAAAATCTTGGAACAAAATATTTTTTAGATTTTTTGTCAAATTTTTTAGAGGATTTCTTTAAAAATGTAGAAATTGGAAGGACAATACGACCAACCTCAAAAACCACATCTTTTCCAATAGCTCCCGATTTTTGAATAGTATACCTTAGTCGATTCCCCATTAGTCTGGTTTTAAAACTAGAGACAAAATATTTTTAGTTTTTGATTATAAAAATGCTGAAAAAAAACGTGAATGTGAAAAAACCTTTTTATCACATTCCTTGCCAAAGTTTCTAATTTGTCCCTTGTACACTCCACTTTTGTAGGTTCTCAGTATCAGGGCAATCCACAAACCAACGTGGCAGAACGATATAGTCACGAGACAACAAATGGCAAGAACTGATTTCGGATTTAATATCAGGTATTAAGATATCAAAGAAACTAAGCAAGTGCCAAATCCGAGCTCTTATATATTTCTGGTTCTTTGAAAACAAAAAAATGTTTTTGACTATATTTGCACATCACGTTTGCTATATATTTCCGCGATTTTTTCGTAACTTTTGTAATTAACACAAAGGGGCTTTTCATTTATGAAATTTTGTACGATTAAGATAAATACACTTGAATATTTTGTATAACAAACAAGTTTCAAATTTTATTTACGCAATTACTTTATAAAGTCCTTAAAACATGACTTCATTAAGTAAAGGAACATTTTTAGATAAATTTTCTTGTCTTATTTAGCTGTAAAATAACAAAACTTTATTTTTAAATTGAGTTTGGCATTCGAAATGTAGTTTTTAGTTTTCTATTTGCTAGCTATATTATTTAAAACGAATGACACCCTCCTAGTTTCAGATAAAGGAAGCTATACATTTTTATTTTTCCCATATAAAGGCCTAACCCTTTCGGGACTACTGGGACAATACGTCCCAACATTTTTTTTGCATCGTATTTTCTATAATTTTAATGCTAGAGCACTTGTGAAATATCCCAAACATAGTTTTAAGGATTAATTAAGGACGAATTCAGGATTTCCAAGTATTCGAAAAAAAAACCCCGTCCCGAAAGGGTTAAAGCCATTTCATTGCCATTAATTATGCAATTCTTAAGCTGTAACGATTGATAGCTCAACTATCAAAAATATTAGAGATATCTATATTAAAATATTAGAGTTTTTGTAAAATGTTCTAATGGAGCCCCTTTAAAATGTGGGAAATCTAGGAAAGGACAGTTGGCCCCCGAGCTAACATCCAACTATGTGGATGTTAGAATTAAAGTCTACTTTTCGGCAAAATAGATTATATTAGTTTTTTTTGTTTTTAAAAGATACACAATCATATTGGCTTCCAATAATGAACAGATGGGATTTATTGTGGTTCATTTATTTTGAAGAAGTTATATTATTCAATTTATGGGTATTAAGGTTTATCGAAAGGTGTTCTACAATGTCTTGTAGCCTCCGGGTAGATGGTGGCACTCGTGTTGACTAATGTGGTGAAGCACTGCAATAAAACAAAAAATTTAAAAAATAATTAAAACGAAAATAAATATCTACTTACCAGGATGAAGCTCATTGCGACGAATGCAATTGATCACTGCCAATTCGCAAAAGTTATCCAGTCTGAAGCACGAGTGACCATCAGTGGCATAGGTTAAACTGTGAGTCCGGGGGCAATGGATCGCATGGCAGTTGCGATGATGATGCTGGTGGTGGTGCTGATAGTGATGCAAGGGGGAGACTTGATGGGGTATTTCCAGATGATGATGTTGGAGATGAGCTCCGTCTAGATGATGATGTTGCAAATGAGGTGCCTCCAAATGATAATGTTGAAGATGAGGTGATTCCACGTGATGGTGTTGCAGATGGTGCGCATCCAAATGATGATCGGTAAGATGGTGCGGCTCGGCCAGGTGATGATGCTCATGGTGTCTCTGTTCCAAATGATGATGGGATCCGTCGTGATGAGAAGCTATGTCTCCGTGATGTTGGGATTGATGATCCAAAGCATCTTCGACTGGAAGATATCCCTCCTGATGAACACTTGCTCCTGCATCATAAATGTCTGCCTGCTGGGGATCATTCAAGAAAGATCCTTTCGCCAGGACCACCAGCATACTAATCACAACGAGAAGATGTGCCATCCTATAGTTTGCAATAGTAAACATTCGAAAAACAACTGATGTTGATTCTTGGTAAGTTTTACGGTTTTATAGCAAATTTCTAAGATTCTAATTCTTAATAAAAACACAACTGCAATTAGAAATTAATTAAAAGATAAGCACACAAATGGCTTTGCTGCTAAGCATCTAATTAAAAAATATAAATGTACCAACTCGAGCCATTAATAATAAGCCATATGGTATATCCAAGCTTAAAACATTCCACCTAAGGTTTTCTCTAATCCAGTTATCCAGAATTTGCGCTTTGAACTCTCCAAAATTTGTATTCGAGTTTTGCGAACCCCATTCTCTTCTCTAAAATTTTTTTTTTTTAATATTTATATTTTGAAGCCTATTAATAATAAGTAAATAATATTTGGCAAGAGTTTTTATGAAAAAATTTTAGAAACAATGAAGCGCTATCCCATATCCTATTTGTTGTTTATTTTCTTATCTCTGAACAAATGTTTATCTTCACTTGCAAAAAGATCAACAATATGCAATTTATTCAAGTGTTACTGCAATAAAAAAATAAAAAATTCCCAGAAACTGGTTCAAACAACGCACAAATATCCACTCTAATCCAGTTACTTACACTCTTTTTTAATTTAAAATGAAAGTTAAGCACTCTAATTTACAAGCTCTAATTCAAAAATATGTAAAAAACAAAAACTTTTTTTTCCCATTTTTTAAGTAACAAAATTGCAGGTCGTACATACGTACAGAATTAATTTCAGATATTTTAAAATAAAACAAAAGGAACTGCTTTAGACTCAGTTTTCCGAGATCAATGATCTATTAATAGCCCAGTCAACGTCTTCGGTATCTGGAAGCTTTTCTGAATAATTATCATATCACCAATCATCCACAGTTATGATAGATGAAAAAATCGATTTTGCATAGTTTTAAAGTACATACTATTGAGAATACTCTCACAAAAATTCGTAATGATCGAAGCATTAGAACCGAAGTTGTAGCTATTTATAGCGCTCTACCTGCACATCAAACTTGAAAAAACCTAAAACTTTAAACGCGATTATCTCAGAATCTTGTTTTTTCGAAATTACCTTTGGGGTGGACACGATTACTAAAAAACTATTAACCCGATCTACACCAAATTTTGACCACTTATTTATTGTGATAATAGCTACTCCGTGAACGAAGGATTTTCAAGTTTTTTGAAAACTTTTTTTTTAGAGCATAAAAATCAAAAATTGTATACCTTGAAAAAGAGCATTTTTTGTTAAGACCGTTTTAAAAAAAAAATTTTTTTTTAATGAAAATTTTTACTAATTTTTCATTTACGGACTAGGCAATACAATATACTATCAAAATTTTTTTGAATTTTTGGTTTCGGATGAGCCGTTCTTGGGATATGATGTCCACCGCAAGACACCATCGAAAAAAGACGATCTTGGAATTCGGCTATAACATTTTTATTATTTAATATTTTTTTATGAAAAAAGTTAAATAAGTACCCAGAAACAGTGGAAAACAGATTCAGTGGAATTACCTCTATATAAATTACATTTTCAAATACGTTATTTTATTTTTATATTTTTTTTATATATCAATAAAAGCTGGAAAAGGGAAAAATGTTACGTAAAATAAATTTAATGCGAAGAACAGAGAACTCACTTTCTCCTGTTAAACAGGTATGGGCGAGCTTTTCACATTCGTTTCCAAAATTTCTAATTACTCCATTATAAATTCCTCCTGACGGTTTATAAACGTCTCCACAAATGGTTCCGCAATATTTTTGGCATTCGATTTTTGATGTAATTTTCAATCCTACAGAAAATTATATAAAATTATAAGAAAAACTTCAAAAATAAGTTAACTTATATTTCTAACCTGGATTTTGACACTTGGCCTTGTCGAAATAACATTTATTTCTGTAGGCATTGCAGAAACGATCACGGGCCCACACAACGTCTTCTGTGTCTGGGCAGTCTTCTGGACACCTTCCACTAGCTTGGCTTAAAGCCAAGAGGACCAGAAAGAATGTGAGAAACACTTTCATACTAACTCTAGTTCTACTCTCTCGGAAGCTCACGAATCGAATGATCAGTTAGATCTTTTTCATCTTATATATACAAGATTAAATAATTCGTAGTTTAGAAAAAAATTTTCTTTAGTGATGAGTCACAACTTTGGGGGTTTTTTCTTTAATTGAATAGATCCAGTTTGCTGGTTAGAGAATACCCATTCTCAATATACGCGATCTACTCTACTGCAGAGCATGTACCAACAAAATAACATCACTTGTTGTGTCGACTGAAATTCAAAATGAAAAGTTCCAGCTTCAAAGTGACAGAGTAAAATGGAAGGGTCAACTCATCAACTAACACCTTCTATGTACATATGTATGTAGTAATAATAAATAACACAGAAATTGTTAGATAGATCATAAAAATGCACTCCAAAGTATTCCAAAAAAATGTTTTTATTGTAAATTTTTGTCAATGGTGATGTTTTAGATTACAAAAAAGCTGAAAAATTACAAATAAGTTAAATTGCATTTATAAATGATTTTTGAATTAGCTTACTTTCGCCAGTTTTGCAAGTGTGGACGCTTTTCTCACATTCGTTGCCAAAGTTCCTTGTTTGTCCATTGTAAACTCCACTTGTAGGTGAATAAACTGTTGGACAAATATCAGCACAATACTTCTGGCACTCCTCCTTCGTGGTGATGGTCAGGGCTAAACAAAATGTATTTATATATACAATAACAACACTCTTCTTCTTCTGTATGCTAATTTATTTTACCTGGTTTTCGGTGACAGTTTTCCTTTTCGAAGTAACATTTGTTGCGGAAGACATTGCAACCGCCACCAAGAGCCCACACGACATCCTCAGTATCGGGGCAATCCGCAGAGCAACTAGCTCCAACGTGGCTGAAAGCTAAGGTCACGAGACAACAAATAGCTAGAACCGATTTCATATTTAATAACAGGTATCAAGGTATAGGACAAACTAAACAGGTGGGCAAATCCGAGCTCTTATATATACTGCGGATGGGGGCCTGGTCTTCGAAAATGTAAATGTTTATCGACGATATATGCAAACACATCACGTTTGCCAGATGACGGGGATTTTTTCGTATTATTGTTTTAACATATTAAGACCCAGGGGATTCAAACTTAAGTATATACGAATAAAGTATATACACTTTTATTTCTATATTTTGTCATAGTATTCTACATATATTATTTCGTAGTTTTTAGCTTTGTAATATTAAATATTATAAATCATATCTCCCGTAAATTAAAAAGAAATGTGTGCACTTTTTGATTCAGTTAAAATAAAGGTATACCCGTTTTTTCCCTTATTAAATCAGTGACGAACAGTAATTAAGAGTTACTAAAACACACATATATTTCAGATTTAATTAATGCAGTGACGTCATTAAGCTAGTGAGCTAGGAAACTTTTTTAGAACAACTTTTTTCTATAATTAACACGCAAAGTTGGGAAAGAGAATGATCGAACGCTCTGATACGCGACTGTGTGAAATAATAAAATGAAATTTAATAACTTTATTTTCGTCATCATTATCATTCGATCATTATTATTATTATATTTACTATATTATTTAAAAATAAATATACCCTGCTTGTTTGAGATTAGGGAAAATATAGGTGTTTCATTTGATGGGCTCGTCGAACCTGAACGTGAGCTGGTCAGCTGTTTTTTCACAAACAGGTTTTTAACAATTTTCTCTCCGTGGCCAATTTACTGAAGCTCACTGTGCTCTCACTTTAAGTCCAAGTTGAGTTTTGCAAGTAGAACAGATGTTAACCTATTACAATACTAAATGAAATGCCTAAGCTGCGGGAGCAAAACCTATTTGGCGTTGGCCGACATCAAAAGCGGTATAATACCTTCCTATAAAGACATCGCCCAAAATCCAAAACTCTGCATCCATTAGTGTAAAAGCGGATAAGCACACGGAAGTACCATCGTCGTCCGTGGCCTGCATAACGTAATCCCTGGGCTGTAATCCAAACCGTTGCCCACCAATAATAAAAACAATCTCGGGTAGCTTATCAAGTCCAGAACAGTTTAAAAGATATTCATTATTCGTAGTAGGTAATCCGCCGAGCAGACTGTTGATGATCAGATATTCCCTGGGAGGAGCTGCCAATAAAGAAGTCCCCGTATCCGCAATGGCTTGGCGATGTCGACTGATAACCGTGCCTCCGATTTCGACGCCATCCATTTGGAATTGCCAATAACCTGCATGAGTTAAGGGCACGTAGGTCAAAGAACCGGAGAATTTAGTGGCATCCACACCGCCAAAAAGAAGCTCGCCGCCTTTTCTTTCGCTACCATTCCGCTTGAGATAAAACGAGAAGAGACAGTTATCCACCAAGTGTTGATCACACATATTCTCAAAAAGTGGCGTTATCTTTTCCTCAGCGATAGACCGGAAACCCAGTCCGACAATGCCTGCAAAGTTTGTGTCAGTAAAAGTGTCCCTCGACTCATGGACGGCCATTCCAAAGGTTTGATTTTGCACTGCCAACTGTCCAATCGACACTGTATCCTTGGCCAGTCTTCCGGACAAGCTCCCAGTGCCGTAGGCTATGGCAAATCTCCTGCCATCCGGAACGAAGCTCGCTGAGGCACTGGAGTTATAGCGATGGTGTCGTTGGCAGGCCAAATTCTTGGCCGAGCATTCGGCACTGGGAACCCAAAGATTAGCCGACCCAGTATCAAATAGCATATTGAAGGGCTGGCCCGGAGTGCCAATACTGACAGGACCGGCGTACTCCAGATTCAGACGGTTATCTAACGTTTCCGTAGCTCCACTATTCCTCGAAGCTACATCCGGCCCACCAATCACATTGTACTTGGCCAAGAGGGACCTTCTACCCGCACTCTGTTGCCGACGACTGGCCATGAATGAGGCCTGGAATTGCATTGGAATGCGTATCAGCTGGCCATGACTTTTCGGCCAAAAAAGTCCCGAAATCCACAAGGACAATAGCCAAAGAAGACACCGCATTGGGGAGGAAATCAAACCGCACCGAACCGAACCGTTGGTAAATTCCGTTTGGACTAATTGACAGAGATTCTGGCTGCGATTGTTTTATAGCACCTGTAAATGGAGCAATTTAATGGCCAAATTCGTCTGGCATTCGAATAAAATTTGCTAATGTTAAGGCTGAACGCACTTAAATGTGTGAGTAAATAGAAGATAAATAGGGCGAGCACATTTAATTGAATAAACAACGCAATGAGCAATTACTCGTAGCCAATTGAAATGAACGAACCGTGTGTTAGACTCAAATAAAATTCTAAAGGAGAGGGTAATTAAAATCCGAAAAATGAGTCCGTCAAACAAACAGAAATAAATGCAAACACTTTTTGCTTAACAAACTTGCTATATATTCAAACAAAAATGGCATAGTTAACTTAAAGTACCCTTGAAAACACATGTTTCATTTTTGTGATAGTTTTAACGAACGTGGAAATACTTATAAAAGATGGCGCAACTTTTTAACAGAAACTATAGAGCTAAACAATACTTCTAAGATAAATACAAAGCAATAAAAATTATTAAAAATGTATGAACTTAAAATATATGAACTGTATATAAACTGCAAACAAAAGCAACTACACATAAATATCCGTTATTCAAAGGGTTTTTAGCCGAAAGTCCTCCGTGTTATTCAAATCAATAATATTCAATATTTATTCAATGTCTATTACCGCCTCTGCCAGGCCAATTTTTTGAGCCGTTGCATCGTATACCGTATAATAGCGCCATAAAAATATATCGCCCAGAACCCAAAAATTTTTTTTAATTGGAGCAAAGGAAGGGATGCAAACGTTTCTTGTTCCGTCGTTTACCTCCATCAAGTAATCATCGGGTGTTAAAAAAAAAGCCTTTCCGCCAATCATAAGCTGCACCACTGGCATTATATTGCTGTGGCAACTTAATAGATAATTACCACCTTCCATTTCAAACGATAGGACTTTGAGTAAATCATCATACGTTTTCTGTGGCATCAAAATAAGCGATGTTCCCGTATCTAAAAGAGCATCCATTTCGCCACAAATATGTTTACTTTTCACAGACACTTGAGATATTTTTAGTTTCCAATAATTCGAATTTGTTATAGGAACGAAATGCAAGTTTCCTTTAAATCGCGATTTATCAAAGCCACCGAAAATAATTTCGCCACCTTTGGATTCGTTTGTAGAACTTTGTTGAAGATAAACCGAGAACATGCACTTTTCCACTAAATTCTGAGAGCAGAGTAGTCTTAAAAAGGGCGTAGTATTTTTCCAGGCCAAAACCCCTAGGCCTAATCCAACCAAGCCGTCAAAGGTCACTGAATTAAATTCAAAGTTCTGCTGAATCAAGGTCTCTCCGAAAATTAAGCCTGGTAGCTTAGCTCCTGCAAAATGGACCGTATCCTGGGACAGATAGCCAAGTACATTGCCAGAACCGTACCACAATGTAAAGTTTCGGCCGTCCGGAACATATGTACTGGATCGGGAAGAGTCATATCTTCTGTGCATTTGACAAGCTACATTACTTTTCGGACAATTTGAGGATGGAAACCAAGTATTCGAGGAGCCCGTATCAAAGATCACAGTAAAATTCTGCCTTGGCGTTCCCATGGAAATGTGGCCGAAATATTCAACGTTTTGACGATTTTGTAGCAGCAAATGGATCCTCTCCAATCCCACGGATGAGTTTCCCGATAGAAATACGCTGGGAATCGGGATGCCCCTGGAATAAAGCGGCACTCTAAGATTATGTTTATTGCTTGAGGATAACGTTAAGCCGACTAGGATTAAAAACTGAATGCGAAGCATTTTCGACGAACTTACACCGTGAACTGAGCCTGGGAAAAGCTCTCTCCGATGTTGAAATATAGCTCATGTAAGTGCACAACTGTGCTTAATGAACCAGTGTATTTAGGCTAATAAGCCAAACAGATGTCTGAGTTCAAACACGGTTTCTTTCTCGGAATTATTGAAAACGTTAGCTTTACAAACCAACCCTCTGACTGTTTTTTATGGCTTAAGCGTCGCCGGTTCTACTAAATATAATTAAATCAAAGATTAATTTATTAAATTAATTCAAATTAAGATGGTTAAACATTTTACTTTATTATATGAAATTTTTTCGAATTTTCAAAGCTACGTTAAGACAGCAAGTCAATACTCCAGAGACATTGATCCTTCAAATGAGATCTGTGGTTATTGAAAAAGCTTATAAAATTCCTACGTAATGGCAGCGAACCCAATGCGATTCTTAGCCTCATCGAATACCACGCAAGAAGTCCTCAACACGGGATCTCCAAGGATCCAGAAATCGGTCCCCTCATAGGTCACTATCAAAAGGCATACTGTGTGGCCCTTCTTAGTTTTGACCTTCATCTTCACCTTGTCTCCCTTGATTATTATTTTTTTCCCATTAACGATAAATATAATGTCTGGAATGTGCGTGGAGCACTTTACCCAACATTCTCCACTGGAGGTTGGAGTACATCCCGTGACTTTGACAAACTCCTTATAGGCTTGAAGAGGAGCTGCTATTAATGAGGTTCCGGAATCGACTATGGCCTGGGCAGCGCCACTGACTTTAGTTGAGCCAACATAGAAGCCGTCCAATTTCATTTGCCAGTACCCTTTTTTGGTCACCGGAGTGTATACATAACTGTTCGATCCAGTGTAGGCTGTGGTATTCTTGTTGCCAATAAATAGTGAGCCTCCTTTGGATGAGGTACCACCACCCCTAAGGCAAATGGCAAATATGCAATCGGTAATCACTTTCTGCTCACACATATTCTGTATAAGGGTCTTCACGTTGTCTACGGATATAGATTGGAAGCCTAGACCCAGGATACCATCGAATTTCGATTCCTCGAAGGCTTCTCCAGGTTCACTGCGGGTCATGGCGAATGTTTGATTTACCACTGTCAGTCCAGCAAGTGACACCGTGTCTTCAGCCAGTCTTCCTTTGACGCTTCCAGATCCATATTCAATGGCGAAGGCCTTAGTTTTCTTTTTATATGTACTTGACTTTGCTGGATGGAATTTCTTGTGGTTTTTGCACGCCTTGCTCTTGCATTTCGGACCTGGTACCCAGATATTCGAGCTTCCAGTATCAGGAAGCATGGTGAACTTTTGCTTGGGTGTGCCGATGCTCATTTTCACATCGTACTCCATATTGCCAATGTTCGAGAGACGAGCTGTTCCGTAAGTCTTGGCGAAATTTGTACCATAACGAGCCGAAAGAAAAGCCCTTTCTGATCGGAAAGTGTTCGTTGTCCGCTCAAAGCCCTGCCGGAAGTTTATTGGCAACTCCAAATATTTGGCGCCAGTACTGGCCGTTGGTGTAGACTTTTTCAAGTTCTTCTTAGACTTCTTTGCCAAATTGCGGCGCCTTCTGTTTTTCTTAGCCGCATTCAGTCGGCGGTTCCTACGGTTCTTCGTTCTGGCCGCCAGTCGGTTTCCCCGTCGAGCATTACTATGCAGGTTTCTATTAGCTCCATTCCTATGTCCTTGCTTGACGGCCAAGGATCTAGACTTAGTTCTCTGCCTTTGCTTGCCATCCGCCAGCATTACCAGAAGGCAAATTATAGCACAAAATATTAGAACCTTGCAGCGCATGTTGTCTAATTAGGAGACAGTTGAGTGAATACTAACCCTCGCAATTTTGGAAGATTTGTTTTTATAGACTCCGGAAAAGACTTAAGATTAGATTACCAAGGTCACTACTGAAAAAAACAGCTGTGTGAATGTTTGAAATTCCCTAAACAGCGTAAGAGGGTAAGTAAATAGTAACACCATTTAGGCCAAAGTAAAAAGCTAAAAATAGCGCAATAACTAGATTGAAGTACGAATTAAACATAGGTATTTCGATGAAAAACATAAGCTGAGATTCAAAAACGAGTTCCACAAAAAATATTCGTCGTCCTTAAAGAATAAACGCCAAAAGTTATACACCTATTTTTGTATTATTAAATCTATTTATAAAAACAAAGGTCCATATGTGAATATTATATGGTCATATGACCTTAAAGAATAAACGCCAAAAGTTATACACCTATTTTTGTATTATTAAATCTATTTATAAAAACAAAGGTCCATATGTGAATATTATATGGTCATATGCCTTCAACAAATAAACCCAAAAAAACTATGTCAATAACAACCAGTTTAATATAAACAACAACTGCAAAAGTCTTTTAAGAATTATAAATATTTTATCAGCAAATTTACGTCATAACTGTGAGCAAAAAATATTTATTCTGTATTCTGTAGTTGCTAATTGTTTTTCCATTATTTATACTTATTGCACTTTTCAGTATTTTGTGCAGGTCTACAGTTTTCCAAGTCCGTTTGATTCCAATCTAAATTAAATATATGTATTACTTATTTAATTTTTCATAGTCGATGCAAACTTACTGATGCGATGAGTACAAGCGCTGGCAGCCATAAAGCAGGAATTCCCAAACTCACATCGCAACACTTTGCCTTTTATTAACGTCTCTCCACAGACAGGATCATAGAGGGTAATACAAGCGTCACGACAGGGGGGTCTTGTCTGGGCCCTTATCTGAGAAACTGTAAACAAAAAACTCACTACGAGTATAAGTGACTTCATTTTTCAATTAGTTCTGACTGATTTTTGTCAACAGAAAGGGTTTTTATAGAAGAGGAGGAGCTTTCACATACTGGTTTTTAAGTATTTAAATAAAAACAGCTGCTAAAAGTCAATTACAATTTTATAGTACAATAAAAATGATATTCGGCTTCCAGGCAAAATGCAGTTCAACTGCCTTTTTTGGGGATCATCAATCAATTGCCTGTAGACAATACAAAAAATTCCACACCGTCATATTGCTAAACTGGTTAAACGTTTTAACCTTCATCACCATTCATTCCATGACGTCTAAAATGGATGTAGTTTCCGAATGGAAAACGTGCTGCCCAGGTTAACTATTATATGTTTGAATTTCAATTTACAACGATCATTTTGCGCCACAAATCAATTCGTTTCGGCCACCACTTGAACTCCCAAAAGAGATCAACTGGAGTTGCAATTGAAAGTCGGTCATGCCTGCTGCGTGGGTGTGGATGCTCATAATGCTGATGGATCAGACATTTGGTCAGTCCCTCGTTGAAGAACTGCCATTAACAACAGCTGCGGATCATATTTCATTGCATGAGAAGTCGGGAGTCCAAAACCTAATAGGCCCTAGATCATCCAAGTCGAATCGATGTCGAAATTGTGTTCCGGTGTATCCAAATGAAAAATACAAAGTTTTATCCAAAAATCCATGCGAAAGAAGGCGACATAGTTCGGTTTTTTTGGTAAAAGATCGAAAAACTGGTCGCCTTATAAAAGTGTCCTTTTTAAATGGCCTTAAAAATAGAAAAAATGTTCGAATATACAAGGCGTATGAAAATTCGAAGGGTCCATGTAAAACTAGCAAAAAAAGAAGTGTCTATCATCTTTTAAACATACAAACTGGATATCCAGTTAAAATAGACTTCAATCGCGATAAAAATAAAAAGAAAATTGCTCGCATTTTACTAAGCTAAAGATAGTAAAGAGTAATAAAGATACTTATTTTATTATTAATCATACACATATATTTATTTTGAAGCTACGTAAAACTAGTTTTCCAGAGCCAACGCTGAAATGAATATAATTCCAGGCGTTTTCAGTTAACAACACTCAGAGCTCCCATTCACTCGGCTCGACCTGTCGACTGTCATGTCTTTTGGCCTGGCCAAAATTAACCAGACCGACGGGTGGGCGTTAAAGTTGGCCAACGAGATACGCACACTACCACTATCGTTAACGCACTCGGTGTCGCCAAGCTGACAGAGCCAGCGATTTATTACTTATGGAGTTCAAATATTTGCTTGATTTTTTTATATTATTTTGTTTTTTTGCCTCGAATTGATACAGCTTAAAAAGACACAGTCAATCAAAAAGCAAAAAAAGGCAAAATGCGCGTGCGTAGATTTTACTTTCGAATTGAAAGCCGCAACATCAGCTAACATCAGACTTTCAAATACTCGAAACGATTAATGCTATCAATAAAGATGAGCTTGGCTTTTATCCATTCCTTCTGTGCCGAAAGTGCCCAATCGATGTCATGCTAAGTTACCTGATTTGAACTAAGGCACTTCATTAACATTTCACCAATATTCCGTTACCTTGTAAGCTTTTTTATTTATGATACAAGTAAAAAAGCCAGGATGGTTATAGTACGTCGGTAAACACTGGCACAAGTTAAGTAATACTTATTTTATTGACACCAAATTCGTTTGATTTTTATTTATTCATAAACATTCAATATTTTTTTAATTTTCTTTTCGTTTTACTTAACAGGTGGCATAAAAATAATAACAACTGTTCACACATGGATTTAATTGTTGAGCACAAAATACCTGCTGATGATTTTTTCTTTATAAAAATACAAATTGAACGGGAACGAATCATTCTTAAACTCGCATCTTAATTAAAATGAAGCACGCAATCCTTATTGTCTTTATCTTTGGAACCCTCCATCTAAGTGGGGCGCAAATAAGGGACTGCTCCAATTCATGCATGTTACGTGCACGATGCTCACCTTATTACAAAGACCTTGTTTGGACCGTTATCGACGGGGTTTGTCGAGTCTACCAGAATGGTTGCATTTTCGGAAACGAAAATTGTATGAGAGCTAACCAATGCCTTCCACGTAAGCTTATATATTATAACTTAAATAAATGAGCTCATAAAAATTTGTTTTGATTAGCTTTGATAAGTACTACACGAGAGCACTGTATGTCTTTCTGCCCAAGGATGTGTTCTCGTGGGGCCCCGCAAGTTTGTGGATGGTTTCCCCATACAAATAGCAATGGAACCACTGGCGGACGTGAAATAACATTCAGAAGTCGTTGTCTTTTGGATCTTTACGCATGCCAGAATGCTGAGGGTAAGTGCTTATGGCTAAAAATTCGCTAAAATTATTTTTATTTGTCTTTAGCCTATGTCAACGAGCCAAGAATTGGACCTTGTCCTTAACCACGCCAATATTTTTCATATACACACTTCATTGTGTGTTTGATGAAATTCAATAAAACATATACTATATATATAAGCCAATTATTGTATCACGATATAAGCAATATTCCTTACAATTTTATAATGAAGAAAAAAACATACATACAAAGTAGAATTTTGTTGTTTCATTTTTGTAGAAATCGTGGGGATAGATCCCAGTTGGAGAGGAAAGCCATTGTAGTTCTAGCTAGAATGACTACAATAAAAAGCTAGTTTAGAGTTGATGAGGTAGTTTAGAAAAACAACATCGGCTCACGATTTTTTAAGGGCGTAAATTTGTTAGTAAGAGTCTGCTACGATATTCATCCAATTGATGTCATGCTTTATTATTCTATTTCATACCGTGTTAAAAACCTGCTTAGGCCAAAAATAAAATGGGTACTTATTTAAATTTTGATGAGGAACCTACTAGTTGTTTTTTGTATAGTAACTTGTAAATTTATATCAAATAATAATATGAAGGTTTTTTTTTCTATTCCTCATTTCCGTATCCTTATTTTTATTACTATTTTTGAGCTATTACCATTCATATCCCGAGGGGAACCCGTTCCCCCCCTTATTTTTCAAAATATTTTAGATACGGATATAAAATGCAAGGAAGGTTATATTTTGACGGGTACACACTGTCATAAGTTAAGTATTAATTATTTTGGTTTCAACAAATGCGGTAAACTTTTTTTTTGTCATTGACATTCAATATTGTTTAAATTATTTTTTTTTTACTTAACAGGAGGAATAAAAATGGATTCACATGGATTTAGTTCACAGTGAACACAGTTATAATGCGTTGTTGCGTTATAATGACGATCTTTGATGCTCGTGATAAATGCTCTATATAATGCTCTATAAAAATGGAATTGCAAGGAGTCGTTCTTAAATGTACATCTTGATTAAATGAATTACTTTATCCTTATTGTCATGCTCTTTGGAATACCTAAGTGGGGCACAAAAAAGTATCTTGGACCATAATCAGCCGGGAATGTCGAGTCTACCATAATGATTGCCTATTTGAATATAAAAATTACTTGAGAGCAATGTCTTTTACTTTCGCTAGATATTACTTCAATAAATGATATTAAAATCAAATCAAAAGACATTTTTTTTAACCTTGATGAGTACTACGTGAGTCTATGTTTCTGCCCAAAAAAAGTGTTTTCGAGGAGGCCCGCAACTTTGTGGATGGTTCCCCTATACAAACAGTCATTGCACCAATGGCGGACGTGAAATAACATTCAAAAGTAGTTGTTAAATAGATGAACTAGATTTTAACCCCGGCCAGAATGCTGAGTGTAAGTACTTTTGAATAAAAATAGGTAAATAATATTTGCAAATTGTAATATTAATATTTATCTAACAAAATATTATATTAAATACTTTCATTTAATTGCATAAAATGTTTCTTAAAATCCAGATCACATTGCGAAATTTATAACGATGAAAATTGTCATGTTTATATTTACACGAAGAAAAGCGATATGATTCTATGTGAATAGAATTCGGAATATTAAAATATAAGCGTTCTAGTAAGGAATGGCTATCTAAATATGTATGTTGAAGTTAATGAGGTTATGTAAGAAAATCACACCCAGTATAGTTCTACAATTTGTAAAGGAGGTAAGTTTTTTAGCAGAGGCTGGTACGATCCCAGTTCATAAAATCGATTTCAAGCTAAAATATCTGATTTTATACGGTGTTTAAGCGACAATTTTTAAATACCACAATACTAAATTGTTTTAAATTTACATGTTCAAAAGTAAGGTAAAGTTACTTGCCTTAAGAAAATAATAATATGAAAGTTTCTAATTTTATTCTATTTGCCCTTGTTGAGCTATTCCAATTTTTAAATTGCTCAGCAGTGTTCCGTACTTTTCTGAATACTTTTCTTTATGATACATCTGAAAAGTGCCCGGAAGGTTATACTTTGAGCCATAATCACTGTCGTAAGTTAAGTAACACAATTTAGTATCAACAAATTCGGTTGACTTTTATTTTTCTAAGCATGTTATTTCAATTCTATTGTTTTTACCTAACAGGATGCCAAAAAATAATAGTTCACCCAACGGTTCACACATGGATTTAATTGTTAAACACAGAGTTATGATGATGCTTTTTGCTTTATTAAAATAAAAAAAGTAACGACAACCGAATGGTTTTTAATTTAAATCTTGATTAAAATTAATTATTTTATTCTTATTTTCTTTGTCTTTGGAATACTTAAGTGGGACAAAAATATGGATCTTGTTGGGATCGAAATCAGCCGGGTCTGTCGAGTCTACTATAATGGTTGCATATTTGGATATGATAATTTCTTGAGAGCAAAGTCTTCTATAGATCAAATAGATATTTACGTCAAATTGGTGACGCTCAAAGCTATGAAAATGATCTGTATTTATTTTTAGCTTATGCCGATGAGCCAAGAATCGTGGTTGCCCTTAAAACCTCTCAAAAATCTATACATAACAACAGCCTTTGATTTTTGACAGTTTAAACTTTCTTTAAAAAAATTGTTTTCTAAAATTGTATAATTAAGTATACAATGAAAATATTAACATTTTGTTGAAAAAGGGTGTTTTTTCTTGTGTTTTTTCATAGCGATACCTCAAGCGCCGCCATTGAAGTTGATGAGTTTAATGAGAAAAACGACTCCCAGCTTAGTTTTACAATTGGTTAAGAAAGTATGTTTATTACTTAAGATGTCAATCCAATTGATGTCAAGCTATATTAGTGGACTTAATACCATGTTACTAAAGCAAAAATGTGTATAAAATGACCCTTAAAGCCTAAATTTTGTTTCAGTTTATATTTTCAAAGGAACGATTACAATAGCAAAAACAAATATGAAAGTATTCTTTACCATTCCTTACTTTTGTGCCTTAATTTTCATTTCTCTTATTGAGTTAATACCATTCTTAAATGGTTCACCACACACGGTTCTTATAACAGATAAACAATGCCCGGACGAGAATACCACGTTGGCCGCAAACCGTTGCCGCCAGTTAAGTATAATTCATTTAAGTAACATGAAATTGTTTTGACTTGTATTTTTATAAAAAATCAATATTATTTCGATTAACAGATAGCACGACTTCATAATCCACCAGAATAATCAGACGTGGATTTATTGGTAAACACCGAACTCAATACCGGCCGTTGAGGAGTTTTGTCAAAAATCATTGATTGCGTTACAATATGCACACTTCTATGAAAACAACATTCATTCAGATTTTAAAATAAAGAAAAGAAATAAACCAGCTGTTTATACAGGATTTTAGCATCATGGCGTGGCATTTTCAATACTTTTAGTTATTATAAATAAAAAAAAGACAGACTGAAGATTCTACTTTCATCATAAAGCTTTAATTTTTATTAAAATGTACACCCAACTGCTACCCAGTGAATCACAAACCCCTACTTTTCTTAATACCTGAATATTATTTTGTTATTTAATGATGTATTATTATATTTTTAATATTTAATATTTCAATCTTTTTGTATTGCATTGTTTATTGTTTATTATTTTTTTTTTATATTTATTTATTAAGTGAAGAACCCGTACAGCATAAAATGTACCTTAACAACACATGGATAGAATATGAAAAAAAAACCAAACCTCAATACAAATATGAGGATAACATCATGGGGTATGGCAGCCTTATTGGCTCCTAATTGTTTTGGCAAAGCCTTGCCGTTTAAGGCGTCTCAAAGGTCTAGCTGGAACTAGGTTTCTAGCAAGTAGGCTACGGTGTCTTAAAAGTCTTTCACTATATCGGATTGTGCCTACCAAGCTGGTATTCTACAGTATTTAGCTTCAAATCTTTATGAAGAGTGGTCCCGCGCACATACCAGGGGCAGTTTGATATATTCCTTAGTATCCGGTTCTGCAACACATGGATTCGTTTATAATTGGATTTGGCTGCGTATCCCCAAATCTGTATTCCATAAAGCCAAATTGGCAAGATAAAATTTTACAATTTATACTATCTTCTACAAAAATTGTTTCCTGAAATTCAAATGAAAATATTTAAATTTTGTTGAGAAAGAGATATTTTTGTGTTGGTTAAGGAAGAATGTTTATTAGTTAAGATGTCAATCCAATCGATGTCAAGCTATATCAGCGGATTTAATACCGTGTTACATAAGCAAAAAATTTGAATGAATGCAATTTTTTTTGTTTCAGTTTATATTTTCAAAGGAACGAGAACGATAGCAAACTCAAATATGAAAGTATTTTTCACCATTCCTTACTGTTGTGCTATAATTTTCATTTCTCTTGTTGAGTTAATACCATTCTTAAATGGTTCACAACACAAAGTTATTGTAACGGATAAAAAATGCCCGGACACGAATTCCACGTTGGACGCAAACCATTGCCGCCAGTTAAGTAACATTTATTGTAATTTTTTATAAAAAATTAATAATATTTTGACTAACAGATAGAAAACCTAAATAATCCACCAAACTAATCAGACTTGGATTTAATTGGTAAACACCGAACTCAACACCGGCCGTTGAGGAGTTTTGTCAAAAATCATTGATTGCGTTACAATATGCCCACATGTATGAAAACAACGTTCATTCAGATTTTATAATAAAGAAAACAATAAACCAGCTGTTTATACAGTATTTTAGTAGCATGGCGTGGCGTTTTCAATAATTTTAGTTATTATAAATAAAAAAAAACACAGACTGAAGATTCAGTTTAAAGCTTTAATTTTTATAAACATGTACACCCAACTGCTAATTATTTTGGGTCTTATTTGCGGTGGAATGCTCCACCTCAGTGAATCACAAAACACTACATGTCCTAATACCTGTATATTACAGGCTCGATGCAATCCATACTCTAAAAATTTAGTTTGGACAGTTCTCGACAATGTTTGCCGGGTGTTTCAAAATGGTTGTATATTTGGAAATGAAAACTGTATGAGAGCAAATCAATGCCTGCCACGTAAGAATGCCATTAAATTTTTAAAATATTAAATAAAACATTGCGTCTTCAGCCATGATTCGCACAACGAGAGAGCATTGCATGGCATTCTGTCCAAGGATGTGTTATCGGAACTGGCCGCCAGTTTGTGGTTGGTTTCCCTATACCAATAGTAATGGCACTACTGGAGAACATTATAGAACTTTCGGAACGCGCTGCTTTTTGAATCTGTATGCCTGCCAAAATGCTGAGGGTAAGTACATTAAAATCCTACATAGTATGTATATCACAGACAGATATTATTTGATTTCACTCTAATTTCAGCTTATGTTAATGAACCAAGGACTGGACCGTGCCCTTAACCAAAAGATGAACCATAAATATAGCTTATTTGTGAATTTTAAATGTCAATCGAACAGTGATTAACGTATTAATAAAAAAAAATTTTTTAAACTTAATGAATGATTTGCTTCAGCTGTTCAAACACAAACTCATTTCTTTCTGATGGACGTTTCGCGTTGAATGTTGTCCTAAAAAGCTATAAAATCTGGCCTTCGTCAGATAATCACGTAAACTCATAATGGATATTATCATGAATTCATTCGTGGGAATACTCCTGTGTGGATTTTTTGTATCAAGTACTTCCCAGGTCAGAGATTGTCCCGATGCCTGTAGATTACAATTCCGTTGCAATCCCTATGATAGGAATCTTTTTTGGGCGATTTCCGAAGGCGTTTGTCGGGCTTTTCAAAACGGATGTTTTTTTTCTTCGCATAACTGCCAAAGAGAAAACGAATGCTCACAGCGTAAGCCTATTAAAACAAATTATAAATAAAAGTAATTATTAATATTAATCACAATTTCCAGCTGTAAATTCCTCATCCAGAGCGAGTTGTATAGAATATTGTCCAGTGCTGTGCCCTGTAGAAGGACCTCATGTTTGTGCTACATTTAGCTATTTGGACGTTACGGGAATGAACAGGGATCGCCAAAGAACTTTTCAGAACCGATGTTATTTAGACCAATTTGCCTGTCAAAATGAAAATGGTAAATGGCCTTTCCATACATATATACTTTTTAATTTAAATATTATTTTAATAGCTTATATTGGTGAGCCATCCATCGGAGCATGCTAAAACGAATATTTTTTCTAGCCTAAAAGTATATTAACTTTATAAGCTTGTTTTACTGACTAATAAAAGTGGTTCTTAATGTTAAACAATTTATAAATCAATCAAAATAATAAAAAATAAAAATCTCTGATTATATCATCACACGTGTTGTGTGAAAAATATAAATCAGGTCTCAAAAAGGTGAGTTTATTGTTTGCTAAAAATATGGTACCTGATATGGGTTTAATATAAGCATGTCCTAAATCTTTATAAAAAAAATCCATATATAAAACGAAATGTAAACGGAGTATGGAAGCTTTTAGCTCGTGACAGTTTCATTAATCGGCCGATAAAATGAAGTGGATCTTCTTTGTAGCTATTTTTACCATCGTAGGATTGTCAAAATGTGGGCCCGAGTGTCGTCGATGTGAGGAGCGTACCGATTACCTCTGCGGCAGGACAGTGAGAAATCGTGAAGAGGTCTACTGCACTTTTTCCAATCCCTGCGAGATGGATCGACGAGCATGCCTAAATAGGGAAGGTAAGTCTTACAGTGTAAAAATTTTCGAGTGTAAAGCTTATTTAACCATTTATCTTTAAACAAATTTCACCAGAGTGGCGGAAATTTTCAACAGGTCGATGCACACGCGACTCGCCTGCTTGCACACAGTAAAGGGAAAATCACCTGGTCCCAGGAGAAGCAGCTGAATATTTTTATAAAATTGTATAAATATTGACACAATTGACAGCACAAAATATATAAGGCAGTAATTTTGGGCAGTCTACAATAACAGTTTTGGAACCTTTCTTTAATACGAAATTTTAAACCACCGCATAAGGTTGCACAGTAAAAATGCAAAGTGCCTGGACATTGGGCAACAAAATTATCCTCGTTTGCGTATTTCTGGAGCTCGGTATAGGGATAGGGGTAGAGGCTCAGCTGCTGATTTCTTTGACAGGTAAGTCAAAGTATTTAGAAAAGAGTCCATGCTTCCTGTTTTACATCCCAAGCCCTTTTAGGTCCCAAGAAGTGCCATGATGTGTGTCCAATGGGTTATCGTGTAGTGTGCGCCCTAGATGTTTTAGATGGCTGTTTGCGCACATTTGCCAGCAGCTGTGTAATGCGCATGTACAACTGCAAATACCAGAAGGGTGAGAACGATTTTCTTATACACTCACAGGATTACATGTGAAGTATCTTTTAAAAATCCAGACTACCGCATCATAGCAGATCGTGCCTGTGAGTTTATAACCAACGACGAACTGAAAAGGTTGGAACTCTAGTGGCGGCTAGACGAAACAAAACGCTGCTGAAGCCAACCGCCAGAGGGTGCTAGTGCAGGGATGGCGCACGCGTCGTATACGCGATATGTAGCAAGGAACGTTGCGTGGATGCAAACGCAAAGGATATATACCAGCAGCCATCCGTTGTGTTTCTGCTGTTTTTATGTGTAACTCTCTGGCTCAGGCTCAACTCTCTAGGCTCGCGTCACGTCACCTCCGCGAACTAAAATCATCGCCAATATCCTTCGTTTTCCCCTGCAAAACTATCCTTTTTGTGTTTTAAATCAAAATAAATAGTACAAAGTGAATATTAAAATCATTTGCTGGTGCAAAACCAAACGCAGTGTTCAATCCCAAAGAAAAAACCTTTCTTTGGAACAAAACGAGCGACAGCACGACGAGGCGCAAGCGAAAAATTGTTTGGGCAGGCAGACAGGAGAAGCAGCACAAAGAAAATAATACCCATAATAGAGTGCTGTTGAAGGCCAAGTCGCAAAGACTAAGGTCTGAAAAGTTTTCTCTATAAAATCGCCTATAACAGGTTTGTTGCTAATTGGTGACTATTTTTTGCAAGAAAGGCGGGGAACCAGCTACCTTTATGTTGCAATGTTCGCAAATTGCGTATCATAATATGTATAACAATCCCATGTGTGTGCCTTTCTGTGAGTTTGCATGTGTGAGTGTCTGTGGGTATTTGTGTGCGTGTTTTGCACGAATGCCACTTTCTTTTGCATATATTATGGCGCTATTTGTTGTTTTATCGGATACCTAATCCTAAATGATATTGAAATAAGCTAAACTAAGAATAAGAAACTGAATGTGTGAAATAAATTCATTTTCTAACTTGGAGACCTTGACATTTATCATTAACAGCTTATTGATTTTTATTTGTTTTTATAGAACTTATGTTTTAACTAAGCATTCCGAAAAGTAATTTTTATTTCACAAAATATTGCTCAATTGCCCGGTAAATTATAAAGAGAGATTCAATTAAATTGTCTGGTTTGAATTAAAAATCGTTTAAACCTAAAAAGGCAAAAACAATAAATCTATAATTAGGAATTAATTTAAGTGTAATTCAAATAACGACATTTTAAAATACTGTGACTTAGTATAAGTTTCATCCCTAGGCTGTTATCAATATTGTTTATCGGTATCGGTGGGACCTTTCCCAAAATGTGGGAATTTTTTATCTGCTTAGATGTTTTCATCGATGTTGTAGCCCCTCTACTGGTCACACTGAAATGCAAGCTGAAGATGTGCAAATTAAATAATAACAAATTAAATGAATACGTGCGGAGGTGTCCTTAGAATCCAGCATATTAATTTAAATTTTCTCTTTAAGTTAATGGTGTGTTAACAGAATTCAGTAAGTGGAACTTGTGACCTCTTGTGTTATCTTTGAGTTATGCATGTGTATTTACTGGCTATACAAATGTGTGTTCTTGTGCCGATTTGTGTTTTGTTTCCCCGCCCACAATCGAGGCGAAAAATTTATGGGACCCACTGACAACAACAATAGCAATGGCAATAGAGCAGGTCCCAATGCAACGCCAATCAAAGAAATGGAAATTTACCGTGAATCAGAACTGTCGGGCTCGCTACCCCCACATACTACAATATATAATTCCCGGGTCTTTAGCGTAAGCTGCGTACAATTCCTGTGCATTATCCGATCACTCGAACAAAAACTACAGAATTATTTTTGATTTTTGATCACAAAATGTAATTTATACATAAACCCACAATTTAATTTTTTAGCTTAAAAGATAGTAATACAAATATTTCAATATACATAGTTTTAGATTGACTTTTTATTATAATAACCTCCCTTTAAATGTATTTTATCCAGACTATTTGCAGACTAAATATTATTAGTTTTAAAGCTCAGTTTAGTTTACCCAATTTAAACTATGAAAAACAAATTATCTTATTTTTTGTGTGCACCTTCCACTTGAGGGACCATTTAATTGGCCTCCATACAAGCTTTTCGAATATGCCAGTCTTTGAAATTTGAGAAGCGTGTCTTAAAATTTTGACTTTGAATAACAATCAAGTTCAGGTTACTTGGCATCCGGTATTTTGAAGGGGTCTCGTTACGGCAAATTGCAGTGCACTTTCAACCTTTGACTTTGACATTGGCTCTGGCTTTTCCAGGAATTGTCCGACACCCGCTCTCACTGACCTTGACATTTGCCGTTAAAATACCAGGAGCATTCCGTGTGTGTCATGGGGATGTGGGTGGAAACTGGGCGGAATGGGTTTTGTTCAAGGAACGAAGGTGAATGCGATTCCTGCACGTATGAAGCCCGCGGCATTGACAGCTTTTAAAATATAGAACTATATTCTTAAACTATGGCTAACAAGGGAATACATGGCTAAGAGGAAAAAGAATACGTTTTAAACAAGACTAAGTAATTAAGTCAATTATTTGAAAGCCTTGGCAATAGCTTGCCGTACTTTGACGTCACTGTTGGAATGCTTAATTATTGATTTGCGTGTAGGGTTTTTTTTTAAAACTTTATGGTCAACTGGTTAATAAGGAGCGACGTCGGCGGACAGACAAAAGCAAAAGTAATAAAATCGGGGGAAGGGTTAGGGAGTGCCGGGCGTGGAGTGCAGGATGGGGGAGGGGACCATGTCGATGACGCACGGTGCGATTGCCGCCTGGTTGACGCACAATTGATAAAGTGCAGCCATAAACGCCGGGCAGTATTCTTCCCAACGTTCCTTTTCTCTCCGCTGGCAGACAGGAAAAAATAAAATCAAAGATTAATTTCGACGTCTCCGAGACCAATTTGGTTTTAATTGGGCGTTTCTTTTACTACATCCTTTCGATAAAAATAAGATAAAATTCCCTAATATTAACAATACTCACTACGCAGGGTAGAGCAACGAGTTCCTTGGGCTGCGGCTGCTGCTGCTGTTGCTTGGGCACACTTCTGGGCAACGCATTGTCGCCGCCGACCGCAAAGCTGGGCAAAATTATGAACTTGTGTTCTTCGGGTGCAACGGCATCGACCACATCGTTATCATCCACGGGCCAGGCGGAGAGGAGCGGCGGAGGCGGCGTACCAGGTGGAGGAGGCGTCAGTAACGGAGGCGGAGGAGGTGGTGGAGTAACTGGAAGCGGCGGCGGCGGCGGCAACACTAGCGACGGCCTCTCCGAAGCAACACACTGCTTTGGTGGTAGTGGAGGAGGTGCAACAGCCTCTGGGCCCGAGGAACCCAACAACGCCAGCAGCCCGGCCAACGGAGGAGGTGCCAGTGCCAGTGCACAGCAACCGTCTGGAAGCAACGGACACGGCCAACTACACAACGAAAACAACGCAATCATGCCGCCCGAGACGCGTCCCAAAATGGTGACGGTCAAACACCCGGAGTCCAACAAGCCCAAGCCCACCACCAAAAAGAGCAAACCCATCCAGGCGGATCAGGATGTGATCAAGGCACTTCAGCGGTGTCGAGATGAAGGTAAGTGCTCCACAGAACCATAATGTAGTAGTGTAGTTCTTGAACTGGATACTGAGACTAGGTTGTAACCCACAAACTCATTGCAGGAATTAAACGTCTCGACCTGAGCAAATCTTCCATCACGGTTATTCCCAGCACAGTGAAGGAATGTGTCCACCTCACGGAGCTGTATCTATACAGCAACAAGATAGGTCAGCTGCCGCCGGAGATTGGGTGTCTGGTGAACCTACGGAACCTGGCGCTGAACGAGAATTCGCTGACTTCTCTACCCGAGTCGCTGCAGAACTGCAACCAGCTAAAGGTTCTGGATCTACGGCACAATAAGCTAGCCGAGATCCCGCCAGTGATTTATAAACTACGCAGCCTAACAACTCTTTACCTGCGCTTCAATCGCATCACTGCCGTTGCGGACGATCTGCGTCAGCTCGTTAACCTGACCATGTTGAGTCTACGGGAGAATAAGATCCGGGAGCTGGGCAGCGCTATCGGGGCATTGGTGAACCTAACCACGCTGGACGTGTCGCACAATCATCTGGAGCACCTCCCCGAGGACATTGGCAACTGCGTTAACCTCAGCGCCCTTGATCTGCAGCACAACGAGCTTCTAGACATCCCCGACACCATCGGCAACCTCAAGTCACTAGTCCGACTGGGCATGAGGTACAATCGGCTGACCAGTGTCCCTGCCACTTTGAAGAACTGCAAATGCATGGACGAATTCAACGTGGAGGGCAATGGGATTACGCAGCTACCGGATGGGATGCTGGCCAGCTTAAGCGGACTCACCACCATTACTCTCTCGAGAAATCAGTTCACCAGCTACCCCACTGGCGGTCCGGCTCAGTTTACGAACGTTTACAGCATCAACTTGGAACACAACCGCATCGATAAAATACCGTATGGAATATTTTCGCGAGCCAAAGGTCTCACTAAGCTGAACATGAAGGAGAATATGTTGACGGCCCTGCCACTGGACATCGGTACCTGGGTGAACATGGTGGAGCTGAACCTGGCCACAAATGCACTACAGAAGCTGCCCGACGACATAATGAACCTTCAGAACCTTGAGATACTCATCCTATCCAACAACATGCTCAAGAAAATCCCAAACACCATCGGTAATCTGCGACGACTAAGGATCCTTGACCTGGAAGAGAACCGCATCGAAGTTTTACCCCATGAGATTGGTTTGCTGCACGAACTCCAACGACTTATCCTTCAAACCAACCAGATCACAATGCTGCCGAGGAGCATCGGCCATCTGGGAAATTTAACGCATTTGTCCGTGAGCGAAAATAATCTGCAATTCCTGCCCGAGGAGATCGGATCGCTGGAGAGCCTGGAGAACCTGTATATCAATCAGAACCCCGGACTGGAGAAGCTGCCCTTCGAGCTAGCACTGTGCCAGAATTTAAAATATCTTAACATCGACAAGTGCCCGCTGAGCACGATTCCGCCGGAGATTCAGGCAGGCGGTCCATCGCTGGTGCTGCAATGGCTCAAGATGCATTCACCCTATAGACAAATGTGAGATGTAGACGGCGTCTGGCGCACCGTGTATGTGGGCAGCGACTGCTATTACCAGTACGAGCTACAAGCGGTGAGCCAGGCGCCCGGAGGAGCAGCCTCCGGATCCGGGGGATCCAGGAGCGGCGAACGTCGCTAACGGTGCGATCTCAGCTAACGGGCAAGAGATCCCTTCCCCTTTCCCAATCCCAACCCTGGAAGGGATATGCCACATTAAAAAGCGTTTTATTTCTTTTGACTTGAACTTTTGCTTTAAACTGAATTTTATGTAAATATTCTGAATAATTGAAATATTGGTAATGTTGTGCAGAACTTCTTCAAAGACAAAAGTTTTAGATAAACAAGTAAGCCATTGAATATGTAATAAGATTATTTAACTTTTAAAATGGACTATTAAAAACAAATTATTTGGTTTATTATATTATAGTATTATTAATTATATTATTTTGGTTAATTTTAATTTTTTTGTTTACTTTTCAATGTGGCTTATCCCTTTTAACCGACTGGAGTGCGTTGGCTGACAAAACGATAGCTTTAAAACGTTATACCAATGTCCCGCGTATTGTAAACTGCCCCGATTTGCTTTTCCTGTTTGTGTTCAAGTCCAGTTCAGAGTCCAAGTTTTAGGTTCTAATTTAACTCAATGCTTCCAAGCTAGTCAAAAATGTAACACGCTAAAAGAAACGAAAGTGAATTGAAAGCTTTAAACCTTTTGTTTGATCTTTGGTCATGAAGAAAGCTAAATCTAATGTTCAAAACTACACACAAAAAAATACGCAAGCGCCAAGGAATTGTTTCAAAACAAAAAATGTAAAAAAAAAATGGTTAAGAACTTATTAAACTGTGTACACATAAATCGTAGATGTATTTTGTATAAGCAAGCGCAAACGATCACTATCCAAAAATCGTGTAATTTATCTGATTAAGCGAGGATTACCAGAAAATTTTTGTAGCGTCCGCCGGCAAAGCTATATACACGCATATTTGTGTGAGAATCATATAGGTAGACTTTCCAGAGACGCAGCTAGAGCAGCATTTTGTATACTAGTATAAGCATAAATAAACCAAGTATCGTACTAAGGCCGTTTGCACGTTTGGCATTACGGGGTTAAGCTAGCGAATAACAATGTTGTATACTTCATCATTTTTATGTGGGTACTTTGTTTGATGGAATATAATAGATCATTTCAATGCATTTAGTTATCATTACTTAATCAACGATAGTTTTATGGCGTGCAAAATAAGTAAAAAAAAAGTAAATATTTAATATCTTCTACATAACTGATAAGCAGAAAAGATATCTAGAGATAACATTGACTCGGTGTTGCCGTTCTAGGAAAGTTGAATTAAAACCTTTTATACATACAGATATTCAATTGCATTAAATGGGTTGGACGAAAAGTGTTTTGACATCGGGAAACAAAAACGGTATAATAGATTGTTTTTATTTTAATGAAGCATACACTAAAAAATACATTTTGAGCAAGACATATTTTTTAAAGAAAAGAACCCACTCTTGAAACTCTATTTCCCACAGTCAAAACAGATTTTGGCAAAACTTAAAAACCAGATTTTCCATCATGGCACAGAAGCGCCACTAAATGAGCTCAAGAAATAATAAGAAACAAATTATTTATTTTTATATAAGCTGCATGTCTTGAAGAAACAAGAAAAAACAAAATATATACATATAACATTTTGAGCTACTCTCCGCTGCAATGCAACGCTAACGGGCTTTAAACTTTTATCAAAAATCTGAAATCAATAAATCAACGAAGCTAACTTTAACTGTTTTACATCCATATTTACACATATACACTCATACGTACGATCAATTTTTACACAGATATTTTTTGAGAAATCGGAAGAGCCAATAAAACACTCAAGATCTATACATACAATAATTATTTCAGGAATCCGTGAGATATGCATAGTATGTACATACGTATATTTTTCAAACAAACTGTATGCGGCAGGGTAAACTAAACTGGCAAAAGTAATTTAATTACAAGAAGAAAATTTAATAAAATGATAACAAAGAAACATGTTTCCAACGGTACAAAACTGAAAACGTAAACGTAACAGAATTACAAATAAATGTTAAATTAATAATCGCACACTAGAATGATAAACTCACCAACCGAGGAGGAGTCGAAATCGGATCAAGAAGTTGGCGAATTCGAGCCAATCACAAATAGATACAATAAATGTTAATTGAGGTCAAGTTAAATGAAAATAAAATGTACAAGTTATATGGTAAATATGTCAAGTCAAAATATAATGATATTCCTAATGTGAAAAAACCTATTTAAGCATACATAAATATTTGCGAAATAAAAGATGGTTAAAATACGTTAAAAGAAAAACGGTCTGTCCAAGTTTGAATATATATACTTTTTTTGGCCTGGCAAGGCTGACATCTGGAGATCGTATATAAGTCAGTAAGTACCCTCGATATTAATACTTTTCATATAATAAAATGCGTTTTAAGAAAAAGATTAAAGAATTAAAATTAGCATTTGAGGAAGTAAATAAAACCGGTTACCAAAACCCGCTTTTGAACCATATTCAACATACGACAGGAATTTTTATTCGATTCTTATTTTTTTAAACCAAGACCATGTTTGAAATTTGTTCTATTCTTTCTAATTCTTTATTTTTCGTTTGGGGGAAAAATTGTAGAAATAGTGGGTGAAACTTTTAAGCAATAATTAACTATGTAAAACCTTAACAATGTCGGCTGTTGTTTTTCCCTGATCATTACAACAAAAAACAGAATGATTCATCTTACATGCCGTGTCATAAACACCTTTGAAACTGCTTCAAACCCGAGGTAGCAGCTCAAAACAGCTGTTGGAGGTTCTTTGTACTCCGGACTGGCTGGTGGGTGATAAGGCGCAAAAACTCGCCAGTCAGTTTATAAACAAATCCCAAGGAGGCAGCAACGATAAGGGACTCTGAGCCTCTGCACACACAGGTAGTCTTAAATGGCATATCATTAATGTGCAAAGTGAAGCGAACGAAGGTCATTAATGTTCAAAGTGAAGTGAGAAAGTACTGTATCGGTAAGGTTAATGCAATCTGGGAATTTGCTTTGTTTAATTTGAATCACAGTGTACATACAATATTCGAGTGTTACATTAACATAGAGAGTGAAAGAGTAGATTTTCTGCTAACTTTTATATGATCAGTGATCCGTTTAATTAAGCCCACCACTTACAGCCTCACCATGAAACCCTGTTCATTTATATTGTTGGCGTGGACCTTGGCTTTCGTAGCTCCCTCACCCAGTTTTGGATATTCTCCTCGAGAGGATGCTAGATTAATTCGGGAATACAAGCAGAAACTAGAGCTAAACCACGCCAAGATCGCCAGAGATCTCGTGCATCGAGCCAACTGGGCTGCTGTGGGCAGCATCTCCACAAACAAAATCATTGAGGGTTATCCCATGGTCAACATCATTTCCACAGACGATAGCGACTCCAACGGTCAATCTACAGGCAGAATACGTTTTCTCCTAACTGATTTGGACTTTACTGGCCCGGATTGGGAGCATAACAATAAGGTGACCTTAATGTTCAGCGATGACCAAACTCTGAATTGCAAGAATTCTGGCATGGATCCAATGGAACCCACTTGTGCTCGCACCATGCTAAGTGGGCAGGTGAAGAAGGTCTGTAATAAAATGTTTTTAATCAAAAATGGAGTATTTAAAATATTCAATATTCTTACCCCTTTAGATAAATCCAAGCGATAGCAGCTATCAGCCCGCCTTGGATGCTTTCGTGAAACGCCATCCAGCAGCTAATAATTGGTTGAAAGGTAGATTCATGAATACCTACCTTTTTATCGTTTTATTACATATGCTTCCTTGTAGCCCACAACTTCTACCTGTGTGAGCTGGACATTCGCAACATCTTTGTTCTCGACTTCTATGGAGGCCCACACCAGGTCAGCGCCTCCGACTATTACGCCGTTAAGGCGTAGATTACTCATTTGGGAAACCACCTGACGCCTCATTACTTTTATTACTGCGCCACAATTTAAATGATAAGTAATTTGATCAAGGAATTGAAAGAATAAATTTAGTAAACAAACACAAGGAGTCTATGACCACTTATCAGTAAAACGCATTACTTCCCGCACGTACGCTTTATAAAGATTTCGCGGTATACTATATATAACATGACTACGACAGAAGCTTCTATAAGATATGGTGGTTTGATAACTGTATTAAGAAATCGGTTGAACTCTGATGCATTATAGTCACCGTACAAAACACATTCTGAAAGATATATATATTATACAAATCAATGCAAATCGCCCTCGGGTGTGGTTAAATTTCATGTATATTTTAAACGCAAGTTTTCCAAAGGTAATCGATATAAATGGTTCGGCGTTACGCCGTGGATTAGTCTTTTAAGCGGGTTATGGTGGGGGTTGTTTAATGAGACCCCGGCACCATGCACAAAGTAGCGTCGATTTTTTGCAGCTGCGGCAGGATGTCACGGAGCTTGGAGCGGTAACGCACATCTTTGGCTAGGGGATTGTACTCCAGGTAAATGGTTTGCAGGGCCTTGTTTACCTTGAGTAGTTCAATGTTCTTCCAGTCATCGACGCCATTGTGATTAAGCCAAAGCTCCTCCAAGAGATGCAGTTCCTCAAGATTACCAATGGACTTCAAGCGGTTCTTGGCAAGATCAAGGGTCTCCAGGTTCTTGTTCTCGGAGAGGTTCTCGATAACCTCCACGCCGTTCTCTGATATGTAGAGCTCCCGCAGATTGGAAAGCTTCTCAAGGTTCTCGATCTTTACAATTCGATTCGCCTGCAGGCTGAGAATTTCCAAGTTGACTAGAGTGTCGAGATTCTCAATCTTGGCAATCTTGTTTTTGCCGAGGAAGAGTTGTCGCAGGTTCACCAGCATCTCAATGTTCTCTATCTTCTTCAACTTGTTGTCGCCCAGCTCCAACATGGTGAGATTGGTCAGCATGCCCAAGTTCTCTATTTCAGTGATGCGGTTCGCCACAAAGTAGATCTTGTCCAGCTTCACAAGTTTGTCCAAGTTCTCGATTTTGGTTAATCGGTTGAAGCTGAGGTCCAGCAGCTCCAGGTTGGTCAACTCGTCCAGGTTCTCGATTTTGGTTATCTGGTTGTCGTAGAGTTCCAACTCCACAAGGGACGTCAGCGTCGAAAGGTTCTCGATCTTCTTGATCAAGTTCCAGCGCAAGAACAGGCGCTCGATCCGTGTGAGGGGCTCAAAGTTCTCCAGCTTCTCGATGCGCCGGTGATTCAGATCCAGCTCGTAGCATTCCGGATCGATTGTAATTATCTCCTCGATGGAGGACACATCCTCGGCAGGAATCACCTGGATGCCGGCGGTTGGCTTTGCCACCTCCGCCTCGTTCATTGCTCTGTCGGCATCACCCATTTCGAATGTGAATCTACCGGTATTTAAAATAAGAAATTGACTTATTTAAAAAAATTCTCCGGCAACTTGACTTGTTTATTTCCCAAACACAGGGTGTAGTTGAGTAAAGGGTGACGCATAGCTCAGGGATTTTTGACGTCACAGATTTGCGAATGTCTAAAAAGGCGTGTGTTAGCGGGTTTTCTTAAATCATTTTTTTATTATACTACATACATATATTTACTAAAGCAGCTTCTTATTAATGAAAGACTTGTTATTATCCACACCTTAAAATTTAAATTTCAGAGCTGTTATAGTATTTGTTAATTATAAAGGATTACAAAAATTTGGCTATAACGCCCATCTCTGAGGAACATTTGCTCTGGCCAGTGTTGGTAAACGCCATTCAATAGCCACCAGCTGATTTGCAAGCGTGCTATGTTGAGTGGAAACAGCAACATGCAAAAATGTTTAAATAAATGGCAAAAAATGCTATGAATTGACAGTCAAGTGGTTGTTTAAAGTACTGGTGAAGAGCCAAAAATTCCAATAGAACATTTTTGCTTCTGGATAGGCTTAGCTAACAACAACAATCATGTCTTCAGCTTTAAAATGTCGCAATTGCGGATCCAACGAGATCGAGGAGGACAATGCTCGTGGAGATCGAGGTAAGTGAAAGGTTTTACAACCACGGTACCCTCTTTTATTCTTTCAATGTCTTATAGTGTGCATGAACTGCGGGTCGGTGCTGGAGGACTCATTAATCGTCTCCGAAGTACAATTTGAGGAGGTGGGTCATGGAGCCGCTGCGATTGGCCAGTTCGTGTCGGCAGAATCGTCTGGAGGAGCCACAAACTACGGGTACGGAAAGTTCCAGGTGGGGTCTGGTACAGAGTCTCGCGAGGTCACTATCAAGAAGGCAAAAAAGGACATTACCTTGCTGTGTCAGCAGCTCCAATTGTCGCAGCATTACGCCGACACGGCTCTAAATTTCTTCAAGATGGCACTGAGCAGGCATTTGACTCGTGGTCGCAAAAGCACCCACATCTACGCAGCTTGCGTCTACATGACATGCCGCACAGAAGGCACTTCCCGTAAGTCCTTTCAGATCTCGCTCCCCTGAGATGGATACATTGCCTTCTTCCTTTTCAGATCTGCTCATTGACATCAGCGATGTTCAGCAGATTTGCTCGTATGAGCTAGGACGCACGTATCTGAAGCTGTCGCATGCCCTATGCATCAATATACCGTCCGTGGGTGAGTGATCCATGAACACACAATGTGTACTAGCCCTACATAGCTTGGAATTGTTGAGGAGTGGTGTTATACATAAAAGACTGCCATAGGCTTTAGAGGTTTATTAATCATAAAGTGGATTTATTTTGTCCATGATAGAAGTAATAGATATATAACGATCCAATCCTTTTTCCATTGTAATTGTGTTTACTTTGTTGAGTACCCTTCCCAGCTAAAATCCCAAATAAGAAATCTCATAAGCCGTAAATTCGCAAAATCTAATAATGTATTTTGATTAAAGTACATAATAGTAATAAGGTCGTATATCAAGGATAGGTCAATATAGGATAACATATTCGTTTATCAATTTATATATGTAAGTAAAAGAACAGTAATTGTTTTATTATCAAAAGCAAAAAATCAGTACAATTTCCAAAGAAATTTATAAATCGAACATAAAACTGATTGTTGCGCAGAGCAGCCTAGAATTATGTGTAGGAGCGAAGTCTGGTCTTAATATCAGTAGAAAGGCATATTTGTATGTATGAGAGATATAATGGAACAACTACGAAATAGATATAATGCATACTACAAGATTAATATGTCAATATGTTTTGGACCCAGAATAATCCTCCTAGATCCCATATTTATGTCTTATTTCGTAAACTGGTTAACTTGGCTTTCAAATTCGTCGTATGCGATTTTTAACATGGCTTTTGTCCCTTCAAGTATATAGGTTAGTGGTATATGCGACTAAATAACATTATCAGATCAAAGATGTATATATATATGTTAGGTATATGCTGGCAAAAAATATGTTTGCTATTTATCGTATTAGTTAGTCATGCAACTTTTATTTAGAATATTGTTTAACGCTAGCTTGACTGATTGCCCGATTTTCACTTGCTTATTGCATACGTTTGTTCTAAATAGCGCCTTGTATCCTATCCCTCCCTCTGAAATCATGGAACGTATTAAGTTTTCTAGTCAACTAGGTAGGTATGGGTGTATATGATCCACTTGAGTTTGAAAATATCTCTATCTGCTTTATGCCAACAACTATGAACAGTGCGTTTTAGAGCTTGGATACAGGGGCCGGTTGAAAAGATTGATATCTTTTTTCTCGATTGGGTAGAATGATAAACTTAATTCGTGTGACTTGCATCGGTTGACTTGTCAGTTTCTCATTGGCAACTGTACCACAGCTTTAAAACGCACTGTCGAGGTGTATATATATGTGTATCTAATATATATATAAGACTATAGACTATTACGAAAACTAGAGCACTCTACTATCTTGGTATATATTGTGTATAGACTTTGTCTATAACCGCCTGGCCTAAAACTCCAATTTGCCTTGTGTAGCACTGAAAACCCATGAGTTGCGATTTTGTATCTGTGTCTGTGTTTTGTATTGCTGAGTTGGTCTCCTGGTCTGTTGTTGCTGCTGCTGCTGCTGTCGATAATAGCAGGCTCCCTGCCACTCGGCGCAGTAGAGCTGTGCGCATCAGGTGCTTCCCTCGCCGGCCAGGTCCTCCCCAGAACTATGGTTTGGGTTATTACCAGTTGCAGCAATGGCAGTGGAAGATGAAGAGGCTGGTGCTCCACCAGCTGCTGATCCCGCGGCCAAAGGTCCTCCAATAGGCGTGGGACACACAGAATTTGTTGGTGAATTTAGAGCCGTCACAGTGGTCGGACCATAGAAAATCAGCTCAGGAATTTGGCCGCCTTGGACCCCAGTGCCGTTGGTGCTCTCCGAAGAGCACTGGAACTGGAATGTCACATTGCCCATGAGCACCTCCGACATGCCCTCCTGTCCAAAGAAGCTTAGCTCGTTTCCGTCCAGGATCACAGAGGCGGTGTAGTAGCACTCGGGTTCGATCTGAATCGGGTTTTCGAAGAACACGTGGAATGTGTTGCTCGACCCATCCGAGAAGAACTTGGTGTCGTTTTCGGCAAGGGTGCGTCCCAGCCGCTTGAGTTCGATCTTAACGTTGTAATTGGCTGCGCCGGTCGACGAGCCATACAGTCCAAATCCAACAATGAAGATTCTGTAGGGGATAGGTTTTAGTTGGAGTACGATTTTCATAATAGCTTTAAAAAAAGATCTTACCTCCTATCAACCGAAAACTGAATAGAATCGCAGCGTCCACGGTAGCGCCACTGGTTCGAGCGGTAAGCACACGACTGGAAGCGGTGGCAAACCTGTGTCTTCAGGCCTGCACGTGACCTAGTTGGGAAGCCTAGCGAGGGCTTCATCTTGGCGGTGAAGTGCAGAAACATATCAATCGTTTCCTGGGACGATAGAATGCCGGTTTGGGCTACGCCGTTGGCAAACTCCTCCAGCGTCATCGTAGGAATGCGGATGAGGTGCAAGGCCTGTCCCAGCAAACGACGCTTGTTTTGCGGGGTATCATCGATGCTCATCTTTTCACAGGCGTTGAGTGCCCAGTTGAGAGCCGCCTCGAACAGGTGGATCTCCTTGCAGTTGAGTGTTTCTCGCGAGAGGATCGACTCAAAGGTCTTGAGGTCGATGTCCACAAAATCCTCGGACTTAACCGCCATCTCGGCCTGGGCGTCTATCACTTCCCAGCAACGCTGCATCAGTTCTGGCTCCTCGAACAGACGCGATTGACTGAGAAGTAGGCAGGCGTTTTTTGCCGTCAGCTTCACCTCCAGATAGTTAACGCAGGCTCTGGCCAGATGGGGCACGATGTATTTCTTGGCAGCGTACAGGGTAGCCAGGATGTGTTCAGGTTCTAGTTTGATTTCATCACAATAGAGGTACCTAAACAGGGAGAAATATGAAGTTTCAATAACTCAAGAAACTATATCCCTGGATATCGTACCTTAGCAATGTTAGAAAGGCAGTGGGTTCCACATCAGGCACTTTAATTTCCTGCTTGTTTTCGGCCAATCCTCCATAGAACATGGCGTAGAAGACGGAGCTTCCCGTGGCGAGAATGTATTTGTGGGCGGGTATGGTCTGGATAGGATCAATATCTGTCGAGGAGACACTTATTAGAGACTAAAGTAAGGAGTGCTTAGAAGTAATTACCAAACTCTCCTCCCACAATGAACTTGACGTCTGACATGAGCTCGTTGTTAAACATGGCAGCGTTCCTCTCAAGCACCGTGGCCTTGCTGGCCTGCCAGTTGGGATCGGCCGTATCGATGGCATTGGAGGCCGCCACAGCAGCAAAGTGCCAGTTGGTCCCGGCCGAGCAAACGTACGACCCACTGCCGCTGGTGGGAGTGGCTGAGATGGCAGCTAATGCAGCCGCCGCAGAACCGGAGGGCAAGGAAAAGGCCGTGGGACTGCCGCTAATTCCTCCTCCACTTCCACCGCCTCCCCCGCTGCTTGTGCTGCTGTTAAGGGCGCCCGGTGAGGCCAATGGCGATGAAGGGGCACTGATCGGCTGCGTTATCTGAATATTGTGGTCGGCACTGGCGGAGGCACCTCCTCCAGTTGGCGATACTGCTCCACCGGCTCCGCTTCCGCGCTGCTGTTGCTGGTGCTGCTGCTGGTGATTGTGGGGCGGCGAATGGAGCAGCCCGTTGCCATTGTTAAGGGTTTCCACTGCGAATAGTAAACGTGATTATTATTTGGGTTATGCAGGCTATTGCTTCAGCTGATCCCACCCAGTTCGCTCAAAATCAGGAGCACGCGCGGCCACATTTGTGCAACTTCCGCTGCGTGTGCATCGTAAATAACTAATGCCAGGGTCTCCCCTTTTTCCACAATTATATTTCCCCAAATACAGTGAGGCTCACCTAAAGCGACAATAGCCCTACATAGCTGAATGTTTTTGTGTGCTTTGTACTTTGTGACCTCGTCTTAAGTGCTGTTTAAATAAAACTGTTCCGAGTTTTTAGTGATCTCCGAAATGGGTTTTACACTATTCTAAGCTAGTCTTGTTTATGAAAACCCAATTGCTTGTTTACGTCTAACAAATACCTGTTTGCCATTGAACAAATAGAAAAACATTCGTTTATTCAACCTACCTTGCCATTTTTGCATGTAACCTAGCCGCGAAAACGTTTAATAGGCGTGACTTAATTGCAAATAGGAGCTTAGAACCATATACTAAGGGGGTTTTGTATCTTATTGTATCTTAACATCTTATGTACATATTTTTATAAATTTATTATAATCTAATCTTCATATCGCAAGCATGTAGGTGCATTATACGAACGATGCCTGTATTTATTGACCTCGTACAGGAGGTCTCCCCCGTCCTTTAAAGGGGAGAACATTTCCCTTCTGAGGTCAGACTTAGGAAGTGGGGACTGTGGATAAAAGTGGAGCGTCTCAAAATAGCAACGCAGTCTGAAGAGTCGGCTGTTGTTTTTTGTTATTCTCGTTGTTGGATACGCCAGACACCGCCCCCTCGGCCCCTCCGCCGCGCTTTTTCCCCTTGGCGACACTGCCGGAATGGTGTGTGAAAAATCAATAACTCACAGAGACACCACACGGCACCTGCACGGCACCTACTCCCTCCCAGGCTCGTTCCCTTACCATTGATCCAGCCGCCATTGGGCTGGGAGTGCGACATGCTCTCCTGGTTTCGCTTTCCGGCGGACTTGAGGGAGAGCCTGTTCAGCGGATTGTTGCCTCCGTGATTGTTCGTGGATGCGGAATTATTGCCACTGCCGCTGGCCATTGCACTTTGCGCGTTCGAAAAAGCCCAACGAAAACTTAGCTCTGAGGTCAGGTCTTGTTCGATCCTTATACACCGCGTTTAAACATTTGCTTTCAATTAACCAATGACAGAGGCTTGATAATACATATATACTCAGATCGGAAAAAAAGGTTTATTCTTTCCAGTGTGAACGCATTTTTGTGAGCTCATTATGGTCCTACTGCCAATCAGCTGTGTTTGTTTACCAACGATAAATAAACGTTGAGAACAAAGGAATGAACTTGCTGCAGATATTTACGATATAATTTGTCCTATTACCAATTTTTTTGAGGGAAAAATAAAAAATTCGCGCGTTGTTCAATTTTAAAACTTTTACCACAGCTTAAATAAAAACAAAATTGTTGAAAAACAGAATCAACTGCAATTCACAGCGCCATCAGTTGAGAGACAATGAGAACTATGAATACCGATAGACATTATCGGCAGTGTTGAAAACTACTTCAGGTTTCAGTACTGTTAGTCACTGCCTCAGCGCGCACGTTTTTTGAATTTGAATTAGCCAGCACAAGCCAGCGTCCAGTTTCGCAACCTATTTCGATTATATCATGGCCATTGATACTAATAAGTATTTCCGTCATGGCGCGCCATAAAAACGCGTACGTGTAGGAGCAAACCAGGGCTGATCCAAGACTTTTTGAGCCCATCTTTAAGCTTGTACTTGTGATTTCTTTATTTTAATAAGTTACCTCCCGCTTTCATTGTCAGCCTTGATGTGGGGCTTGCCTGATATTTGCATGTCCAAATCGTATTTGGTCTATAATTTATTGCCTGGCTCGTGCATATTTATTATGACTGAAGAAAAAAACACTGAACTTGAAATCGATTTTGATGTGTTTGCTTGGTCAGCTCGCTTCCCAAGGTTTGTTTATCTCTTAGCACATTCGTGTACAGTAAAACCTGTTTCTGCAGTGGCAGTGACAGCAGCCGCCTCACTACCGGCAGCAGATCGATCGAAGATGTGTGCCGAAAAAACATGTTGTTGACCTTTGCTTAAGTTAATATTTTAGTCATCCCACGGCTGGTTAAGGCAAATTCGACTTTTCAGAACAACCAAAGTATATCCGATTTTTTATGGATGCTTGAATAATCAATTTCTCATCTGAATACTGCTATACTGTAAATATTTTAAACTTAATTTTTCAAAAATAATTTTCTTAACTTTACAGTCTGAGACCTCCTATAAATGAAGATGCTAATTGGAGAGAAGAGTCTCTTATCCAAGCATTGCTAATTAAAGAAATATTCCTTTTTATTAGAAACGAACTAAGAAAAGAGTCAAGAGTGTAGTTTTACACTTAAAGATAAAAATAAATAAAAATACTTCTTATATTTTGAGCCTCTATTTTTCCCTTATTTCTGGATAATACTCACTGTGTTCAGGCGGTGGCAACTCCTCGTTTTCGGGCACTCGTGCCGCGTACTCGGGCTCATAGCTGTGTGCGTAGGCGCTGCCCCAGTGGCCAGCAAAGTCGTCCTCCTCGAGGGTCAGTAGGTGGTCCAGCACCTGCACCCCCCGTTCGAGGGGGCCGTGGAACTTGTTAATCAGCTCGGAGAGCCGCAGGTTGAGGCCGTAGTTTCCCGAAGTTCCACCCCCGGTTCCAGCGTTACTCGTGTCAATGGCCCAGTATAAGAGATGACGTCCCAGGTGGCTGCTTAGGTGATTTGCAAAGGCCTCGATCATCTTTCGAACAGCCACGGGGTCATTTTCACATTACTTCCCTCTTTTGGCTGCAATTGAAGGGCAGAATTATTAAAAATCAACGTAAAATTGGGAACATTTCTTAGTTTTTATTAAAATAATATATTAAAGGATGCCTAAATGCAAGCCAAATCGATTGGAATTGCCATATATAAGCCGTAAAGTAGCATGAAATTTCTCTCTAAGGCCCTGCTGCACAAAATTTAATGATAAACTATCCATATATCATTTGAATATGAAGCATAGACCGCAAATCGTAATGACTGTGTTATTATTTCGACCACAATTGTAATTTCGATATGTAACATAATCGCATTTTTATGGATATAAATGATATTGTTCCGAATCAATTTTCGCTCATACCACAGACTCGCCTTCGCCTCTCAAATGAAAAATAGCCAATGCGGACTGCACTTTCACTTCTTCGTTTCCATTTCCATTTTGATCTTAAACCCAAAATCCAGCTCGCACGCATTTGTCGCATTTTATTAGCTGCAGGAAGTGAATTAAATCAGGCGGGGTACCCCGCCCCATTTGGCCTAACCCTTTTTGGGTCAGTTGTAATGCGACTTCAACAGAATCCAGCTCTCTTCGCCCCTTCATCTTCAACGCCATCTCGCTGCCACCTGACTCTCTGCCAGCGGAAATTATGCAAGCGGCTATTTTTAATTGGCAGCATGGCGAAGTCCGTAACCAAAACAAACCGGCGACAGACGTGAACATAATTTTGGTTGCTCTCTCACTTTATTTTCGACTCGTCATGGCTGTCTTGCGGACAATCAACAGGTCTGTGGCTTGTGCGATATATGGGCAAAGGTGTATATTTCTTCCTCCATATCTGACAAGGTGATGCATGAAACCCCCATCCCCAACCTCCTGAACCTCCCCACCCACGCAACCACGCCCCCCATTAAACAAAGCAATTTGTTGTCGACGCCTAATGAAGTTCTTCATGCTTCGATTGTCTTTGGATTTGAACTAAGATCTTTGGCTGAAACGTTACTGACCTGTATAGGATTATAAACTACATGGTCATTTAAAAAACAATAAAAAAAAAGCTACACTTTTTGAATTTTATTGCGCACTTATAAAATTAACTAAAGAGTTCTAAAATTCTTCTACAATGGCCATCCTCATTTTACTATCAAATAACTATAGTTTTATTGATATATATTATGTATTTGCCAAACTTAAAATCCCAAAATATAATATAGCCATCTTGGGGTCCTCAGAGAGAACTACTCATTTCAACCCCTTGATTTTGGCATCCCCTACTAGTTGCCATGCAAATCACACATACGATTTATGCTAAATTAATTTCATGGCTTAACAATCGAGTCACGTTCATTATTCATCGGCTGTAGGCTTTTGTTATTTTCCATGCACATTTCATTTTCAGTTTGTCGCACTTTTGTATTTTGTTTCATTGCGTGTAAGTGTGTTGATTTTCGTATTAAATGCTTTTCCGTTTTGAATTTGCCCTCCAGCTTAAGTCGAATTTCAAATTTGCCGCTTGCATTAACATGGGACGCCCTTTTCCTTAATTTTATTCGTTGTTTTTTCACTTTCAGTATGCTCTTGGTTTTATTTCATTTTTCATTGCCTCTTTAATTGCAAATGGTGCGACCCACTTTTTGGCCAAGTCTCGGGTCAGACTCTCAAACACACAGGGCCAAAAAAATTTAAAAAAAAAAGGGTATGCGGAGACCCCAAAGAAACGCCCGCGTAACACTTTCGATTTTTATTTCCTCATTACACGCTGGCCAAAAAAAAGCACCACTGACAACAACCACAGCCACAAGATCACAGCAAAGCAGAAAATATAAAACTGTTGCAGAAGAAGTTAAAAAGTGAAGAGTTGTCTTTTTAACTGCAGTAGGGTCTTTTGTTTTTCCATTATTTCCCATTTTTAATGAGCCCCTCTTGCTGCATTTTTGTGTAGTTGCCAACATGTTTGGCAATCCCTTTAGCCGGTTAACCCAATGTGTCAAAAAGCCAGAAACCCACCCAATCTCCTGCTTTTCCCAGATAAAATCTATATGGCCCTCGAAGCCCTCTCGTTTCTGTAATAATTATCCGTTCGCTCAAGTGGCCAATAAAAAGTGTAAGAAACATCAACCTGTCGAACTCTTGGCCAAGCACTCGAACAGTCGATCAGTCGGTCAAGCGTTTTTTGGACGCCGAACTCGCGGTCAAGCAGTTCGAAAACGAGCTTGTTGATTTGTCGATTTTGCACTTTAATTGTGTGAGCTTGTCTGATTTTCTGTCTTTGGCCCTCTTTGCTAATTTTGCATGATATTGTTACGGTTTTTGTATTTGCCAAAGTCTTCAACCTGATAAGGTCTATACGCAAACGCTTTAAAATAAAGAATTTTCTTTCCATTCACAAGTAAACTTTCCAATATAAAAATCCCACGCAGGAAAGTTTTATCAATGGAAACTGTCTAATGGAAATAAAATTAATAAGTTATGAATAATTTATTTTTAATGCGAGGAGCTGACAAGTTGCAACTTATAAATATAATTGTAGTTGTGCTAACTTTGGATGAATCATTGTATCGTAGTATCTTATTCTTTTCAAGCTGCATAAAGTCTATTGAGTGTTGTTTGGTGTAAGCTTTTATTTAAGGTGTTCCATATGAGTTTAGACCTCGCTTCGAGTGCCCTTAGGTGGTTTCGCAACGATTCAGACCGTCAACTGTCGGTCTTTCGGACTATCAGCCTGTGAGCCACTCGTCTTGGCGTCTTGGGCTTAGACGCTTTAATTTACAGATAATTTTATAGACATTAACATGCAGTTTTTCTCACTCACTTTTCATATTTCTTGGCTGTATTTGGTAAGTCATGTTGCATTTTGTCTAATGACTCGACGAATTAACGAACAATTTTTTGTTGAATTTAATTCTTTTTGGCCCAGAAAAATCCCCGTTTTGAATACCATCGATTCAGAATGAGTTGCCGAATTTCAATTTTTCTCGTTGCCTATTGTGACATATTCTATGGCAAATATTTATTGCTTTATTTAGCTTTGGAGTAAAACCAGTTCTCGATTCCTTTTTTGCAAGTATTTTGGCCAAAGGTTTTTAAATAATCTCCCGAAACAAATCGTCATTGAATTTTGTTTTTTTGTTACTCAATATTTAAATATTCATGCCGCCAAGCTGGGTGATTCTCGAGTCGAATTCTAATGTGGTTACGGTGTCCAAAATAGAGAAGCCAACTCTTTCGGTGCTTGGGGTTTTTTTTAAGGGTGGGGTTTTTTAAATGGGTTTTATTTTTCAAAGTTTATTTTGTTTCGAAACGCAAACAAGAAATTGTGTGGGACTATGGAACGACGATCTTTGTTCATCGTTTGGCCGGCCGGGAAACTCTAGTATTTATAAAACCTTACAGCCCCGGCCCATTCACGCAGAGCCCGAGTATTGACAAACACCAGGAGGACTGTCATTAAAAACAGCACCTCTCCAAACACAAATCATAGTTATGAGCAGTAAATTACAGCCAAATGCTCGGCAATTAGCGGAAAGTGTAGCTAACAGATAATTACATGGCGAGACTACCTATTTTTCCACGATGATAAGAAAGTTAAGCCTTGATTGAGATCTCAGATTGTTTACTCTGAGGTGTCGATCATTAGGAATATCATTAATTCCGAGTTCCTGAAGCTATTGATTATTTTAAGCGTTACAAAGCACAGGCACTAATAGTTTAATGAATAATTAAATATTTGGGTAAACAATTAAACGCTGAAGCTGTCAATTCCTCTAAAAATCTATAAATAAAACGAAACTGAACAAATCTGGGCAATTGACGTGAATGCGAGTATAAAATATTTTATATGAGACGCGCTGAGGTGGAGAGCGGCTAAGTGGGTAACGACGATCCATAATCATTAGAGATAATTATATTATATATTTTTGGGATTTTTTGTAAGCATCTCTGATATATTTACACTTCACTCAAAGCAATTTTCTTCAGGTGATTTTTTTTTTAACACTCAGCCGGGAGGCTGTCAGTTGGAAGATGGGGGAAAAAAGTGCACATAAATTAAAACGTCAACAAAAGAACAAACAAGCGAGCTACGCGCACTTTGTCAACGATTATTATTACTTTAAGCAGCAATCAGACAAATACACACTTTTGTAATTTGGCGAGAAAGACGGCAGCCAGCGTTAAAACAAACCGCAGTCAGGTGTTGAAAGATGTTTTACATGTGAGCTCGGAATTTGAGTTTGCAGCTTCTTCGCTTTTCGATTTGCGCATGCGCGTCGACCGGCCACGTTGTGATAGAGTTTTTTTTTGCTATCACTCGGTGTATTTTTTTTATTTTTTTTGTTCAGGTATCGTGACTGCTGCTGAGGTGCGCGCGAGTCAACGAACGAATTCGTAGTGAGATACAAATTTTTCGAGTGAGATACCAAACCGGCAACGAACTTACAAGCGTCAGCCAGCCGGTCGATCGGGTCGACAACGATCGGCGATCGGCAATCAGCTTTGCCGCTGTTTGGCTGCCTTGGGAGGAGTGCGTTTATTGCATGCGATAAATGATTTGATTTATTTTTTATGGAGTGCTAACCAATAGTTATGCTCGCGCCTTTGTTGATTTGGCTCTTGGGCGAGACTGGGTTTCCTCGGATTGCATTTCCTCATTTATCACGCGTTCTTGGTCCATTACAAAACAATTTAAGGCAGCAAACACAGCTAATTGCTAATGTACTGAAACTCGAACCCGAAATTGCCAGAGGTTTTTTTTTTTATTTTTGTACAAAGTGCAGAGTAATCAGTGACCAAAAGGCCGAAGGGTAGACCGCACCCAAAATGATAATTGCTGTCATGACAAACGCAAAAATAAAGTTTAAATAATAATAATTTCACTAGCGGCAGTTGCAGAATGCTGCAGTCGCCATAGTTAGTTGGGCTTGGAGTGGCTGCAAGAAGAGGGCGGGCGACATTAAGAAACCATTAGCAGCAGCCGTGCTGGCAACTGTCAAGCAGTAGCAGTCCACTTCAAGAAAAACCTATGCCAAAGACCCCAATTGGTTACCAATTAAATCGAAAATGGTATTAAGGTTATCAAGGTTATCAGGTTTCATCAGCCATGCTCCCAATTGGCTTCCGCCAGAACCATGTTGAATTTCGGAGAACGATTTGCGGAAATGGAAAATACCGAGCGTAGAAATCTGAAATCACGTATACGTCTTGTTGTCTACGAGTGTTTCTTTAGCTTTTTGATTTGTTTGTTGTAAATGGAAACCACGTAGTATGGAGTTTGTATTTTTTGTTTTTTAACAAGTCAAACACTTGCCATGACCAGTTATTCATTGGCTCTTAAATATTTGTTTCAGTGCAGTCGCAGTAACTGTTATAGCGGCAGTTTCAGTAACAGCTGCCGCGGATGAGTGGGCTGCTGTTCTGAAGGGTCAATGCAGTCACAGTTTCCAATCGCAGTTCCCAGTTCCCGGTTTGCAGTCACCGCAGCAACGGCATCATTTTTCAAGTGGAGCACTCGACGGCAGCTGAGGAGGAAACGCAGAAGGGTGGTGCCTGTTCTGGGAGGACGGAGTTTGAGGGCTGTTGCTGGGCCTCCACAAATGTGCGCATTCATTAGGGTTTAATAAATAATTTTTCCCCTTTTTGCGGAGTTCCTTTTTTTTGTGTGGAGTACAGTTAGCGAGACTTTGACAAGCATCCTCTAGTGGGCGACCGCCCCCGCTTCCCCTCCCTCAGGTCAGCAGGGGTTGACGTTTAACAGCATCTGCCTTTGTGTGTCAAGTGGTGCTGCAAGGCGGCTCGGGGGATGGAAAGAGGACCACCAGTCAGACCGAAGCTAATGTTCTACTCCACACTGGGCACATGGTGATAAATGGAGTTTGTATTAAAGATGTCCCTTATTAATAAACTCTACCAACTGATTTCATAGAAATACTCTTCACTACCAATTTTTGTATGTTTTTAATGTCTCTTTATCTTTATTTTTGTATGAGCTATTAAATATAAATTTACTTACCAATTATTTTGCCATTAAAGTGATCATACCACTATTATGTAAAATTTATTTGTCTAAACTTTAAAGACAAGTGACCATCTCCCACTGTATCCACTTTATTTTCTTAGCAAATTGCTATTATGTGCTTCAGTATAATCCTCTGTAACCGTACTTCCCAGACCAATTTGTCGGCAAATTTAAAACCGACAGAGGAGCAAAGTTAAAAAAAAAACACTTGGCAAATATCTTAGGCAAGGTCGTGTCTCTGTGGGCTTTGATTTTCCAGTGCGTTTCGCACCGCTGTTTAGTTGGTATTTGACGTGTGTTAAATGCTATTTGTTTTTGGCTTTTGTTTTTGTCGGAGTGGTCGAAATACTGGGTTAAGTGTTAATTGCACATGTCTGTGACGAAGTTGCTGGCTTTGTGGGTTTCCTTGGCTGGCCCTATCTTTCATCTCGTTCCAATATAACTAATTATTGGTTTAATAGGCCAATGAATGTCAGAAAACAGCTCTCGGGCCTACGTGTCGTATGCGTAATGCTCGTCAGAGCAGTAAAAAATATCGCATGCTAGAAAATACCGCTCGTCGAATCTTTGGCTTCTCAGGTGTTCGATTGGCGCTCTCTCTCTTTTTTTCTACCTGTCTTCTCTGAGTCTCTCTTTCACTCTGGGGCCCATGCTCATTGCCATGTAAAAGTTGAATGAATTGAATAATATCGGACCTGAAGTTCGGGTTCAAGATTGTTTTTTTCGGCAGCTGTCCATGGAGACGTGGGCCGGTTATTGAATGTTTTCGATTTCGTTGGCTAGACCCGGCTTCAAGGTCGCCGAGCAAGTTCTTCTGCTGATGCTCTTGCATTTCGTTAACTTTATTGAAATATTTGGAGTTTGTTGAATTGCTCTGGCGAAGGGTATATCTATATTTTGTTATTGTTTATATGAAAATGAATTTATCAGCAGAGTCAGAGTATAAAGCTGCATAAGGAAGGCTTTTTTTGCAGATAGAGTATTAGATAGAGTATACAAAACTGGTCTTGTTGGGGTTTTCCAGAGTAATTATTCACTGCTTCCTTATTGACATTTCCAGATCCATGTCTGTACATCATGCGTTTCGCCAGTCGACTCCATTTGGAAGCCAAGACACACGAGGTGTCCATGACAGCATTGAGGATTGTACAGCGTATGAAGAAGGATTGCATGCATTCCGGCCGACGACCCACTGGCCTTTGTGGAGCAGGTAAGTGACACATCAAGTTTTAGGTTGAAATTAATAATTGGAGTTTAATGGTTGCAATTTAGCACTGCTTATTGCTGCTCGCATGCACGACTTTAATCGCACCCTGTTGGATGTGATTGGGGTGGTCAAGATTCACGAGTCCACGCTCCGCAAGCGCCTCTCGGAGTTTGCGGAAACACCTTCAGGCGGACTGACCCTCGAGGAGTTCATGACCATTGACCTGGAGCGCGAACAAGATCCACCATCGTTCAAGGCGGCCCGCAAGAAGGACCGAGAGAGAATAAAGGATGTAAGTGCATACCTGTCTTTAAAATCGAAACCTAAATGAAATTTTCATTTTTAGATAGGAGAGCAGGAGCTCACAGATCTGCAAAAGCAGATAGATGCACAGTTGGAAAAGGATCTCGGCAAGTACAAAAACAGTGTTTTCCAAAAGCTAGCCCATGGTAAGAGTACGACCACAACCAGTTCTCCGGGTACACCAAAAAGTATTTCCGAGAATGAACTGGAAATGGAGGAGTCCCGCCAGTTTATCGAACAGTCCAACGCAGAGGTTATCAAGGATTTGATAGATAAGGACGAAGGCGTAAAGAAAGTGGAGCCCGGTGGCTTGGTGTCCGGAATCGAAGGATTGCGCCCTGATATCGAGGCCATATGCCGGGTCACCCAGAGTGACCTGGAGGATGTCGAGCGCACCAAAGCGCCTCAGGAAACTGAGCTGTTTATCGACGACTTAAATGACGACGAGCTAGATCAGTATGTGCTTACCGAAGAAGAGGCTGTGTCCAAGCTGGACATGTGGAAAAATCTAAACGCCGAGTATTTACGCGAGCAACAGGAGCGTGAGGAGAGGCTGGCCAAGGAGCGCGAGGAGGGCAAGCCGGAGCGCAAGAAGCGTAAGCCGCGCAAGAAAGTCATCGGGCCCTCGTCCACTGCCGGCGAGGCCATTGAGAAAATGCTCCAGGAGAAGAAAATATCCAGTAAGATTAACTACGAGATCCTTAAGACTTTGACTGAAGGCATCGGCGGCCTAACGGGCGAATCTGCCGCAACGAGTACGGACACCAAGCCAACGACTCTTCAGGAAATAAAAGAGCAGCCGGTGATTGTGGAGGAGGGACCTGTAGTTTCTAAAAACAGTCGATCTCGGCCAGCTTATGATCTACCAGGTCCAAGCCGAAAACGAGTCAAGGCTGAAGCCGGATTGCCAGTTAGCCAGGCGGCAAGTGAAGAGCCAGCGGAGACCAAGCAAGCAGTAGTTACCGAAACAGGTGGGTCAAGTCCCTATCTCGTTGATGACATTTTCTTATACTTATAAAACTTTTAACTCACTTATAGACGATATGGACGAGGACGCTGAGCAAGAGGAGGCTGATGCGGAACCCGAGGCCGAGCCAGAGGCCACACTCCAGGACATGCTGAACAAGGGCGGCGAGGAGGACGACGAATTCGGATACGGCTTTGACGAGGACGAAGAATATTAGACCTAAGCCAGCATTTAACTTTTATTTTAACATTCTTAATATCTATACAAAGATTTATAGGAGCTAGTAGCTACCCTACTCGTAATATAATTAAACTAAGCTTTAAGACCCGTGCACTTGTTGCCGCCTCGGCACTTAAGCTCCTTGGGCGAGTTAGCCGTGGAAACCATTAAATCATTGCTCCTCCTTGCTCGGCGCTGCCCTGCAGCCATTTACATGTTTAAGCCGTGTCGGCGCTAGGAGGGCGAGTACTCTTAGTTCGTTCCTAATTGTTGGCGCTGCCGTGGCGCGCCTCCAAGTGCTGCAAATAAATATTTCACTCTTAATCATGTTTTGCACTCTGTTTTGCTTGCCTTTCTCAGGCGCTGCAGGCGGCCAGTTCGGTTCGGTTCACTGCAGGATATGCTCGGGCAGGAACTTGGCTCGACTCCACGGACGGGCAGGCGGCTTGTTGAGTGGCAAGTGCCCGGCAATGAGCTGTTGAGTCTGCCGAGCACTTGTCTCTGCGATTTTATAGTTATTATGTTGTAATTAGTGTTAATTTACTTGCTTCCGCTTCAGAAAGTCAGCGTCAGCAGCTTAGGCATAAAGTATCGCATATTTCTGGCTCTCCTTCGTGAGGCTTACTTTACTTTATAATAGATAAAAGTTGCGCTTGAGAGTCTTAATGGCGCTCAAATTCGTGAGCACTATTAAATATGAATATGCAATTATAAATAATGTATTTTTGAAGTACCGAATATTGAAAAATTGTGGCATACTTTTACGATGAAAATGAAAGATTTTTGTTATAAATTAATTAACGCTCTTCACGGCATGTGTTTAAACATTCTTTTTATTATGCGATTTCTTTTCTTCCCCTTAACGATCTAATTAATAGGTTGATTGATTCGTGGAATATTTAAGTATGAAGTATCTTTCAATAACCAACATAATAAACTTTCTCATTTAAGTTCTCAGTACATCTAAAATGTTAGAAACTTTCCTCTTTCCTCTACAACGAATTAATTTCACTTTCCAACAAATTTATGCCGGAAGTAAAGTTGCGAACTAGCCTGCTTCCCCCATTTCCGACTTTAAATTTGCAAAATGGTTGCCGTTGCTGAACAAACTGGAGTTAACTGCACTTAATGCCTGTTCGCTAATTTGCATAAGCCCACAGCCCGGACCCCAAGGATAATTATTAATAAAATGCACACGAACCGCTCGAGAGTCCTGATGGGGCGTGGCCCGGCCATTTCCCTGAGCAGGCTTAGCTGGCCAACTCTGAACGATAATGTGAATTGTATGCACATGTAAATCCCCAAGCAAATGTGACAGTAAAATGGCAATTAGTAGACATCTTGACTTGACCAGCCACTTGGAAGTTAGCAGCTCTGCAGGGTCGGTTGCGGCTAATTTATGCGCACCCAATGGCAGCTAGAAACTGCGGGGAAAGGGGTACCCAGGCCAGGCATCTTTTGATGCGGATAATCGCCCGATTAAGCTCATTAATCCCTGATGATATATCTTTAATGGATTTTTGCGGATTCGCTGCTCGAAATCTTTATTGGTTTCATTTCGCTTTCATGTGCTTAAAATGGTTGAACTATCCAAATCCTCAAAAACTAATAAAAAATATGAAAATTTTTCCGTTTGTGGATACATTGCCTTTTTAATATAACAATTTGTTGACTTATCCGCAGGGTATTACGTATTCGTCAAGCGTCAAAGAAGTGCACTTTTTTTTATTTTGGGAAATAATTTGCTTCTCGACCAGTCAGAGGACTGTCACTGGCGGCATTAATTAAAAAATCGTTCTTTACTGCTAAAATTCAATATAAAAAATATGTGGTATGTATTGAACACACGCGGACCATATATTTTAATGCAGTTTAATTAAAAATGTGCCAAGCTGAGGTCATTTCACAGTTGCGAGGATTTTGTTTGCAGTTGCATTTTTATTCGTTTATCTCAGTTTTTTTACGGCTTTTGTCCGCCTTTTCTCTCAATAAAATTTTTATCATTTACACATTATTTGCGGATTTGGGCGCTACATTATTAAATACAGCGCCCGCAGGCTGCCATGGTCAGCGGTTCGCTGGGGACTCCGGAGACCATTTTGAAATGTATTTAATAAGTGAAAACAAATAAAATGGCGCCAGCAAATATCGAAAATGTGAAAATAATGCTTTTAATTAAAATAGCTTGTGTGGGCGACCAGCTACGCCTGTTGATTGCAGCATGCTTGGAATCTTTAAGTAAAAGCGGTATATAAGCGTTAATACACTTAAAGAGTCGAACATCAAGCATACGCCATGTTGCCCTACGTGACTATGCCCAGGTGTTAAACGCAAGTATTCACCTTAAACTCCTATAAATATATATTTATTTTTTAAATTAAAGTTTCTATTTGATTTTGCTGTTCGTTTCTAATTAAATAGATGTGTGAATAAGTATGTGTGGCGACTAATTTATGCGCTAATTACGTAGTGTTTTGGCTGTTGAGTGTCGGTTCGGTTCAATGAATAATTAAAACGCGATTTCCCTGTGCGCCTATTAATTAGGCTGCTGAATGTTTTCCTTAGTAATTTGTTTGGGCTATTAAAGTGGGCTGAAAGCTCCGGCATCAATGACAAAGTGCGACTATTAATAGGCTTTGGTTTTTGATAGTAGTTCAGTTTATTTAAATATTTTTCAGAGAGCAGAACAAATTCGTATTTAACGATAAAATGGTTTTGGTAAGTATTTTCTTTAAGGAAGTTATCTTCCTGTGTTTGTAGATAAAAAGAAGATTAGATTTTAGTTTATGAGACAACAAAATTTGCGTTAAACGATTACCCTGAACTTTTATCCGATTATGCTGAAAAAGCTAATAAAATCCATGTAGTTATGCATTTGCATGCATTCCGCAGTTTGACTGCCTTTGAATCATAAATTCCTCTAGACGGGGTAGTGCAAATGCCTGACCAATCGGCAAATCGCTGGATAGTGTTTACCCACTGGCTTAGCCGCAAGTTGCTGCAAGCTTCCGGCGGAGGTGTAGGGATTGCCGGGGTGCCACCTTTTGGTGGCTGCCGATAATGGCCAGGCATTGGCAGCAGCCGTTGAACGACTCCGGCCCAAACTGCAGTCAAGTTGCAGGCGTTGCATCGGCGGACTCACGCCCTAATGGGCACCACCCTCGGGCAAACGAACTGACCAGGTTGTTGCAGTGGCAGTTAACAGACAATTTCCAATTGTGCAGCCTCACGCACACACGCCCATAAACCACGCACATTTAGGCCTGAATGCAAATATGCAATAATAAAGTAAATAAACGTTGCCGGTCGCCATTAAGCTGCAAGATGCCGAAATGGCACGGAGCGGCAGTGAAGGCACCAGAAGAGTACTTGTTCGATTGAAAGTATAACTGGAGGCATTTACTTGTGTAAGTCAAACAAACTTAATAAGGATTCAATCATATCCTACAGGATATGCAAAACTCAAAAATACCCTGAGGTATCAGTCTTTCTCTTCCAAGTGATTGGCCATCTTAGCGTGAGCTGACTGTGAATATGCATTCTATGGCCGGCAGCGTATTGAACATAAAGTGCCTGGCAAACTAGGCAAGGTTGTGATTGCAAAACACAAGTGCAATTACCTGGCCTGCAGGCTCAGCACGCTCCCACATTCAACCCCGCACGCTGATAACCACCACCACCACCAACGCAAACACACATGTCCTCGAACGCACTAACACATGCACATGAATGTTGGCTCGGCGCCGCAAAGTAGGCAACGATAATGTCATAAATTCAATGAATAAACATAAACGGAAAAAGCAGATACACACACATAAAGAGCAGCTGTGTTGGCCGGGTTGGGTGAATTTGCCGCGAAATAGGCAGAAATGACGGCAGTAACAATAGCAACAACGTAACCGTGAACAACATCAACAGCAACATCAACATCAACCGTGGCAAAATATGTATTAGCCCACGAAGTTTACTAACAAAATTAATTATGCGAATTAAGCGCAGTAAAAGCACTTTAAGCAAGCCCCCACCACCCCGGTTGCCCATACCGGCGCTTGGACCACACCGCTCACACCACAGCACCATCCCCTTTAGCCCGAATAGCCCCTTCCAGATCATACGGGGCCATAACATGTGGCGCATTCTGCGCCGTGTCATGATGCTAAACTTGGAGAAATTTGTTAAGCTCTTCTTGATGTTTTTAAAATTTAAAAATATAAAGATTGGACTTTTCTTACGAAATTGTTAAGAACAAATTCTAAACTGGACCATTTATTTTATTTGAAATAAAGCTTTCTCTTTTCTATTATTTAATAAAATTAATTCTTTGACAAGGTTCACACTTCATGATGTCGAAATTGACTAATTTACATTTTATTGAAAAGAAATTTGTTTACAGTGCATGGCTAAGGATTTGGAGATGGGGATGCGAAGCGGATAGAGCCCGGGGCCAGAGCATTGTTCAATTTATGCGTGTTTGTGTGCGTGTTCCACTCAGGAGTTATACTAGCTGCTCACCCGTTCCCCTCCCGCTTTCGCTCACTCTCCGGTTTTCGCCAGTTAGCAGTTTGTGGGCGCCAAAGTAGGCCAAGCACCCGGACCTGGACCAAGTCCCAACAGTCAACAGCCAAGAGCCAGAAGCAACCAACCAGCAGCAGCAGGCAGCATCCAACAACAACAATAATAATAGCAACAAAAACAAAAACAAAAGCAACAACAACATCAGCAGCAGCCTGGAAGTTGTTTATTTAAGTGTGAAATTTAAGTGCAACACTGCGTAATGTGTAAGGACCAAGGATCCAGCATATTTAGCATTATGGCAGCCAGTAGGAGCAATATCAGCAGCGGCTGCCGCACAGATAAGCGACATCGTCCTTAATAACCCCACAAACCCCTACGTGTGAAGGGGAAGGGGAAGGGGAAATGAGTTGCCGTAATCATAAATTGACCTGCTAATAGATAATAAAACAAAACACAAGCGAGTCAACATCGCACAAAAATAGCGGAAAAAAGACTTGCCATTTTTTTGCATCCAAAAAGGGTGGAGAGTGCATAGCTACAGCTTTTTGGCGCCGTTGCTGACCAAACGAAATAAATAAACCAAATTGTCGCCGATTTTTGGGGTCAGGCAGACGCCAGGCCAAATTAGCTAAAAGTTCGGACAGCCACTTAGTTAATTGTCGCAGCGATTCAAATTAAATACATAAATATAAAAGCATTCATAAATTGCACGCTAAAATGACAGTTTACACCACCCTTCATCGGTGTAGTGTTAAAATGTTTTAATTTATGAAACCACTCTTCAAAATGAATAAAAACAATATTTTTGT